CCAAGTTGCTCATTGCTCCCCCCCCCCCCAGCTTTTTAAAAGACATTGCAAAAATTTGCTCAGGGTTCAAAGATTAAAAGACTTGTGAAAGGTGTCTGAAAGCAGCACGAGAAAAGTGATGTCACTCCAGGTTTCAAAGGGTTTAATGGGAAGGACAAAGAACAGGGATTTTGAGTGGCTATAGTATTTTTTGATGTTGCCACCCCTACACAAATTCATTATCTTCCTCCCTTTGTCTGCATTGTCTGCTCTGTTCACAAACTCACACAGGTCACCCAAGTGGAGAAGTTCAGCCTGAACAACCGCGCAATGAAGGCTCACATGAAGAAGCTCCAGCAGCAGATTCAACAGAAAAAAGAGGCGGGGAAAGCTGTGTACGAGGTAGAGAGTGAAAGTGGGGGGGTATATACCCAGAGATGCTAAGAACACTGGAAAAGGAGACAGTTTATGTCTCACTAAACTGTCAGTTGATTACACAGTGACTCACAGTCTGCAATCTGCTTTTTTGCTTGCTGGTAAATGTAACAATGCATGGTGCTGTGTCTCCTTTTAGGATGTTTTCCAAGAGCAAACCGAGCAGAATATTGAACAAAACCTGGACGAACTTCAAGTTCACAATTTGAAAGTACAACATGTCCTCAGTTCACACAAGGTAACCCATTAGAAATGTGTGTGAGAATGAGAGATCTGTCTCTGTGTAATTTAGTGTCGATGTATGACAAACACCTTTGCAGAACAGCTTGACATTAGCTCCAGCCTGTTAAATCTATGAGTGGATATACTTGGTTTATGTGTGTCAACAGGAGAAGCTGCAGAGTGTAACACGGGAGTCCACAGAGCTGAGCAATGACATCACCAGCAGGAAGCAGATGCTGGCAAAAATTGAGGAGGAGATGCAGCATGCTGAGGAGGTTTGTCATTAGTCCATAAATGAGTCCTTTGTGGTTTGGTGCATTCATGGTTACCAAAGATTAGTAGAGTACTTTGCATTAAGTTATGAAGGGTGTATCAATATCTCAATATCTCCTGCTCTTTAAACTAATTCCCTCAGTGTACTTCCTCCCTTCTACTTCCTTTTCTCTCTCCTCAGGAGCGTTTAAAGGCAGAAGCCCTCAACCAACAGCTGCGCCGCCAGATGACCAACTATCAGGCTCCTGATATCCCTGAGTACATGCAAGTCAAGGAGAAACACAAGCAGCTACAGCAGAGCATTCACACTTGGGAGAGGAAGGTTGGGATTGCTGAGGTAAGCCATATTTTGTTTCCCCAAACACACAGATTGTCTCCTGGATTCTGTCACCTGTGTAAAAACAGTAAAAGATTCTAAAGTGCTGTCATCATACCAAGCTGTAGAGAAACTGTTGTGTGACAGTGTCCCCAAACAATGAACTCTCTCTTCTGTTTTTTCCAGATGGCCTTGAGGACCCACACTAAAGCCCGGAGCACACAGAGAGCCACTCTTACTCCTGCACATACAGCCGAGGCTGGAGCTCGATCTGGGGAGCACCAGATCCCAGTAAAGCTTCCATACATAGCAGAACACAGCACATAGAGAAATACAGAAACAGAAAGCCTGCTGGATTCATTGAAATAAAAACACCAATGTGTGGTGGAGAGGAAACTTTGTTGCTGTTGCAAATGCCCCTGTTTCACAACAGGCATCCAACACGTGATTTGTCATGATTAGTCAGTATTCTTGTAATGCGTGTTGGGAAATGTTCTCTTGAAGCTTTAACCCTTATCATGTCTTAGTTTTTTTTCACTCACTCTGTGTGTCCTTGGGAGATGTTACCATGCAGCATTATGGAGAATGAACTGTACAGAAGAAACTCTGCTTCATCAAGCCCTGTTCCCTTAAAGTTACAGTTCGTAAAGTTTTCATATGCTGAAACTGTCATATTCACACAATATTATATGAGACAGATAGTCTGTGAAAGAAACCATGTCCCTCCACCTATTGCCTCTAATGGCATTTACCAGAATATACCGCATGCTCACAGAAAACAACCACACAGAGACGAGGAGTTTCTAACGCAGCTGTCAATCACGTCAATCACTGCTGGTGAACTGGGTTCAAATGTCAAACTAGGCAGCGCTGATGAAATATGAGTCAAGATTCTGTTGCTGCACTGGCATCAAGTGTTTTCAGAAACATTTCAGTGTACTGTTTAGCTGTAAAGTGAGAAAGCTTGTGATGCAGCCACCATGCTGGAGACAGTTGACCAGAGCACCAAGCACTGCCCACGAGCTGGAGTGACTTTGTCATTTTACAGCTAAACAGTACACTAAAATATGTTTCTGAAAACATTTTAATAGAGAAATAGGCAATGCAGCAACAGAATCTTAATTCATATTTGATCAGTGCTGCCTAGTTTGACATTTGACTGCAGGTCATGAGCTGTGATTGACGTGACTGACAGCTGTGTTGGAGACTCCTCAGCTCTGATTGGTTGTTTTCGTTTAAATGCAGTAAGGCCATTGGAAACAAACCAAGAGGGCAGGGGAACATGACGTTTGTCACAGATCATCTGTCTCATATACTTCTTATAAATATAAGGACAGTTTTAACAAATGTAATAGCTATTTTTATGTCACCAACTACAGCTTGATGCATTATAAAAACTTATATTGAATAACAGAAACATCTCTATTCCCTATACCATTACTGTGCCACATTATGTTGTACACAATCCAGTGTTATTACATAATCTATCCTCTCTCCATGCTGGCTACTTTAACAGCTCCTAGACTTAACAGGAAATCTTGAGGCTTTCACTTGTGTTGTCTGTGCTCTGGGGTCCTCAAAGTGTCACTGAGTGGAAACATTCACCTGTCTTACACCTTAAAATTAGTAACCTCTATACCATCATTATATTTATTGTCATATTTTCAACTGTGATTATTGGGATTCTGCTTGTGTGTACACATGCGTTTACTCATAATGTAAAGCATGCAGAGTAATACAGCCTTAGTACAATTTTGAGGTACTTTGACTATATATAAATAGCTTCTTCATGCTTCAACTCCACCAGTGTCCAGAGGCAAATATTTCATATTTTACTCCATTTATCTGACAACTGTAGTTACTTTACCACATCAGATTTTACATATAAAACCTAAAATCATCTTATAACAGTGGTTTCTAACTGGTCCAGCCATGGGGCCCAGATTTCTCCTTAGTCAAGGTCCACAAAGTTGAATATATTCAGCATCATACTTGTGTTTGGCCGTGTCATCGAGCTAGTTTGCTGTCAAGAAGCAGTCCATTAGTGACTCACTCTACAGCAGGGTGCGGCACGTCAAAATAAAAGCTTTGTGCTGAATAGTCACTGTACTTAAAAGAAAAGGGTGTTTTTTTACAAACTTGACACGTTCGTGAGTCACTTGCGGCCGATTCAGAATGGACATGCGACCCACCAGTCGGGAACCACTGTCTTATAAGATATTATTGATAGCAGTAGATCAATTTACTCAACAATATATAACGCTGTGGAATAGACTTTCACTTTAAGAACATTGTGTTGTTAATACTTTTACTTGTAATGGAGTATTTTTTACATCATGGTACACCTACTTTAACCCAAGTAAATGACCTGAATACTTTTTCCCCCACTGATTATAAATAAAGTTTAAGTGACTTGATATAAAAAGCAGGGCAAAAAAATCCACCTCAGACTCGACAAACTATTTCCTTTATTAGAAAGAAATCCTCAGAGGTATAAGCCCTCAAAGAACTCTACACGTTATGATGTTACATGCCATATGTACAGTTATATACATAAAAGTGCAATGTCACAATGGGTTAGCTGTTTATTTATTATTCATTCTGTCATATAACTGTTTGGAGAATGGCATCGTTACTTATTCATGTGTCTTCTTCCTGCACTGCATTTTCGAAAATAAAATAAAAAATAATACAGCACCGGACATGAAAATCTTAAGTTCCTCTAAAATATTTTCAAAGGCACTTTCACAAGTACATACTACAGATGTACAGAACACCACGGAGTAGCTTAAAGCCTACAGACGGCCTAACGGAGTCCTACTGTTGATGATGTTAACATAGTGACAAAAGCACACTTTTATTTTCTTTTTACAACTGGCTTCATATTGTATCTCTGGATATTTATTCTACATCGTTTGTTCTAAGTCTTTTCTACCCAGAAACACGACAACCATAACAAAAATGATTACAAAAATAATGAAAGTTAGTACGTCAGAAATTAATCATCTTTTTTCGATTATTATACACGCAATATCTGTCAAGTCAAAGATAGTGTAAACCTGCTGTTAGAGAGCACTGCTTATTCATCGCAAACCAAGTCTTCTCTGTGTGTTATTATGCTAGCCAAACATTCCCAGGACATGCACCCAGTTCTGTTATCTAGACAGTACTGAGGTTATTTTGAAACAAAGACATAGGGTGGTCCAGTCACACAGTTAGAGCTCGGGCACGTACAGTTTTACGGGGCTATTGCATTTGAAATTATTACTCAATCTGGACAAACACGGGCTGTTCATCACTGATTGTATGAGACTTCCGCTGGTTTTAGAGGAGCCATTATCCACAAATCTGGACAATCCACAGAGAGAGCCTCAACATAAGTCAGAGTACAATACAAAAACACGTTATTGACATTCTCACCTGAACATAAAATAGACTGGAGGGACACAACACAAGCTGCTTTTTTTCCAGAGAAGCACAAGAAAGCAGGGCGAACATATAAGGAGGCTTTCACACTAACAGTCATTAGGTCCATGGCTACCGGCAGCGCTCCCGCAGGGCGCTGCCATGAGTCTATACACATAAGTCAATATGAAGAATGTCTACATGGAGGGTCAACATCCATGCTTTGAACTCACACAGTCATGTCTTTGGGTAGATAAAGCCAAGCAAGGCGTAAAAGAAGCTTCCACACCGTATAATAGCATAATGTGTTGTATATACTGTGGGCCGGAGATGATTTTTTTCCCACCCTGCTCCATTTCTATTATACAGATGCATAGGCATAAGTTATTATTAGGTGTATTTTCAGCCCGCATCATGAGTTATTAATGCAGGATTTCAAGAATGCATCAAATTCAAACAAAGTTCATATTAAAGTAGTGGTTTTACCCAATAGTCATATCTCATTCCAGGCAATATGGGAAAAGTGTTCTGATAAATTTGAGTGAATCCAGCACGGAGGTGATCTTTGTACATTTCGGAGACACAACAGACGCTATGCCTTGCCAAAGAAAGTTGCAGAGTTTACACGCTAGTGAAGAAAGCACACAGCTATCAGTACTACTATCTATCAACAAAGTACCGTTAGTTGTTAAAGGGCTCTTCAGGCCCATCATCAGTCCAACCTTCAAACCGTTTCCGTCCAGGTAGTCACAGCACCTTTAGAATATTTAACATGTGAAATCAGTTACATCTCAAAGTCAATAAGGCCTTTTAACCAGTCACCTTCAACGGCCCTCCTAAGTTAAAAGCAAGAAGTACATCATCTAGTTCTATGTGTGAGAACGCCGCTGTGGTCGCTACGGGTCCCATCAAGCTCCGTTTCGGGTTCAGTGGTAAACAGAAGAGCTACATGCAGCCTGTTCAATGTTACACAGTTCATGGATGTCTGTAAACTAAACTGAACTAGTGTTCATTTTTCTAAAACCTTGAAGGAAGCCTTTGTGATTTGTTGTTTAAATTTCTTAAAAAAAAAAAAAAAGACATTTGTTAGATAACATTAACCTAAGGATATTAACACATCTGTGCACATATTGAGACAGAGGATTTGTCCGACTGACATCTGTCACCACTGCTACACGAGTCTCTCAGATCCTGTCAGAGTCCTCTTTATGATCTTGCTTCAAAGCTCCACGAGGAAACATCTCTTCCTGTGCAGGTCCATGTATTTTACACGCTCTTAGATATTATATGTTGTATGTCAATGAAGACCAGACACTGGTAGCATCTTGCAGCTCCCTGGTGGATTGAGAGTTACTGTTTTCCATCTCTGGCTCCTGTCCCAGAGGTTACATGGTGCAGGACTTGTCCAGAGGGTCCTGAGCAGCTGTAGCCGGAGGCTGTGAGGCCTGGCTGGACTTCGGCAGGACCATGGGCTTAGGCCTCAAGGCCGGGGGTTTGAGTTGCACCCCCATGCGAGGCGCTACCAGAGGCTTGAAGGTGCTCATAGTGTCGCTGGAGGAGCTGGTGCTGCGGCGGATGGGTGGCTCTGTGTTGGCGGTGGACCTCAGCATGACGCCGTGAATGGGACTGAGGGACTCGCTGGAGCTGGCCGGCGTGGGACCTCCGCCGCTGCCGCCGGAGGTCTGCCGCTGCTCCAGGGTGTCCAGCACCACGTCAGGGGCGTGCTTGGCTGAGCTCTGCCGCTCCAGCTCACGCAGCTCGTTCAGAGCGGTGTTCATAGTTTCTTCTATGTCCTGCGGGAGACAGAGAGAGTTAGTGTAAGAGAGGAGCGGGGGATATGGGAAGATGATTATAACTCTGGCGAGCAAGATGAGCGACAGGCAGAAAGTTAAAAATGAAAGAAAATGAAAAGCAAACTTAGAGGAGGGAAATGAAGAGTGAGAAAGAAATAAGTGGTGATATGAACAGCAAAGACTTGAGAGATGGAGAAGGTAGAATACGGTATGGTAGGAAACATAAAAAGCGATGTTAGCAGAGGACCACAGTGACAGTTTTTCAAGAAAACACCAAGCATGCATTAAACATGCAGAGAGTTTGAGAGTATTACTTTGCACCGGCACCTCTCTCTCTGCATGCTAATGACTTTGGGTAGCGAAGGAGATGCAGAGATGACAAGATATGTTCGTCTGAGCATGCTCCCAGTAGGCAGACAGACAGCTCAGCACAGTTTCAACCGCTCTCTATGACCCCTGCTTTATCAGCTCTATGCAAACGTTATTCATTGTTTTAAGTGCATGACAACAAATTAGAGCCTCCTATCAGCAGTGATGCAAAAATACACGTCTACTGAACACAAATTATGACCAGTGAAGCATCTATATATTTAGTAAAAGTTTTTATATTTAGTTTTATGTATGCTCGAGCAAGACTACACTCAATATACCGTGATGAGTCCCAGTGTCGAGCTATGCTCCCTGCTGTCTGCCTGTGAAGCTAGTCTTTTGCGTGTATTTAGCACACAAACACAGTTGCAGCCAGAGGAAGCAGAAGACAGGGACTGACTATGTTTTTACAGGGCGGGGCAGGGCTTTGATGGTGGAGGGAGCTGCGGTCGGGTCGCCGCTCGTCCCGCGCTGACCTGTGCGATGGTCTCCGGATCCAGGGGCTTGCCGCCGTGGTGGTGGTGGGCGTCGGTGAAGCCCGTGTACTGGCCCGAAGAGGTGGAGCGTCGGATTGGGGGGCTCTCCATCTTCTTCAGCGACTCGTGGCGGCTGATGTTGGTCAGGCTGCCGTGGCCGGTGCGGCGCCGACGTTCGGGGCTGTCCATGGGCATATGGTTGCGGCTCCGCAGCATGTCCCGTGGGCTGAAGTGGCCCAGAACTGGGGAGCCCATCTCTGGGGTGCCTCCGTGTCCTCCGTGACCGTGCTGAGAGGGATGCACCATGCAGTGGACATCAGTGGGGCGGGCAGGGGGCCGCCGAGATGGTGGCTCTGATCTTTTCTTGTGCCTGCTGGGAGAGAGGAGTGGGAAGGAAACAACAAAGCAGATTATTTATTTATCACGTTACAGCATTCATCTTTTTGGATTGACAGCTCTGTCTTTAATAATTTAAACCTTAAATTATTGATTTTTTAAGGGCTTCATTTAGGTCTCACTCTGAAAACACAGTCATCCTCCAGACACGAAAAACCTCCAAACTAGACAAACAATATTTTCTATATTACAAATTGTGGGCATGCTCCATCATCAAACATTTGCCACTGTGGGGAAAAAAACAATCATCAGTGCAGGATAGAGATGCGCCAACTGATCTGTTGTTGACCATTATCAGCCAATTTCAGCTTGATCGGCCATGACTGGTGACGGGCAGGTTAGCCTCAGATACAACTGATTCTAAGCTGATCAAATTTACATACATGCACCTCACGATGGCTCAGGTCAGTAACTGACTTTTGTCACAGTCGCTACACCCTGTTCTCATAACCAGGTCATTAAATACTGACGCTTTGCCACGCCCCCTTATTAGAGACTTCTCAGAACCTGTAAGTGACTTTATTTCTAAAAAGCAACTAGCCACAAATTTAGGGATTCCTTAAACAATCAGGAAAAAAGTTGTAATTCAATCCCATGCATGCTGCAACCACAGAGACCTGCTCTTCTGCCAGAAGCATGGGGTCTCTTTTCCTTTCTCTCTCCTGCTGAGCCGTGCAAAGGGTGGGGCAGGCAGGAGGAGAGTAAATATATAGCCTACTGTACACACACCTTTACATTCTTAGGAACAGACACTGATTCATAAATAGTTTTGTACCACAGACACAATAACATGTTGACTCTCTATAAGATTATTTTCGCAGATTCTTCTGTGATACGTAAATAATTAATCTGAGCATGTATAGATGCATTGCAACTGTTCTCTTTTGGGAAAGTAGAGCATGTTGGATAAAGTGGGATGTACTGCAATTCATTTATAACTGGGTTTTATTTGTACAAATAAGATCTGTCCAGTAACCAGGTGCGCTTTTTATTTTGAGTTTAATTAAGTGAAGATCCTGTAACCTGCTGCAGTTTGGGAGAAAATGTATACGTTTTTTAATAGTCAGTGTTTTATTTTGAGTATATAATTGAGTTTTCATTAAAGAAAAGTTACAAAAACATTTTAGTATGCTGTCAGTTATAGTGTGTAGGAAGAAAGAAAATCAGAACCAGCAGGTCAGACTTTTAAGAAATTGGAATCAGCCATGAAAATCGCATTCAGTGCATCTCTAGTGTAAAAGAAATCCTCACAACTCTCATTTGTAGAGCAGGAGGAGTGAACCTGGCTACCATCCAGAGGAGGGAGCTCTGTTGTTTGTCAGAGCACCAAAACAGGCTCCCTGGGAGAAACTACAGCTGCCTCAGTAGTACGGCTGTCCTCCATCTGAACCTGGACCAGCACAACACCATGCACACCTAATACGACTCATACAGCTGGGGAGACGGAGCCGCACATGAACGCATGTGCCTGATCATATGCACACTCCTTCATACTCACACAGACGCATGTTTGCTGAGTTATGCATGATGTTTCTCCACAGTAACATCTCCTCTCTTCAAGTGCTCCTATTGCTCCATAAAAGGCCAATAGAGCAGCACATCCTGCTCCGTGTGTCTCTAATAGGCTCTGCTCTGCATATTTATGACTACCAGCGCTACAGTAGCTACAGAAGCCAGAGTCAAGAGCTGTAATGTTTAATCAAAGCAGCTATCATCACTTTCAGTCTCACAGCTAGATGACTGAAAATAATATTTGAGCATGACTGCTGGCAAAGCACTGGAATTTAATCTAGAGAATTTAATATTATAGTTACCTGATATTTATTACATGTCATCTCATTTTAGGAAAAAAACAAAGAAACTAATAATATAATTTCATTATCATTCAGTCACTGTTTTTAGTTGGTGTAACATTTTCTGACACAGCGACAACTTGAAATATGAAATCAATAACATCTGAGAGCTGATGCGTGCCAGATCAACCATTTTAATTCTGCATTATTGGTTCTTTGTGATGATGAACGAGCAGTGAATTACTCATCCTTTAATCACTTCTGTGGGGCAAATGGTTTCATTTGAGAGTTTACGTCTGCCAAATGAACGCTGTCTCAGCCATTATCGTTAAGATTTACAGGCGGCTTCATCACTGCGCTAAACAAAAAGCAATAACGAGTGCGGATATGAAGGACCGTTAGGGTCTCAGAATGTAATTGCAGCTCTCCGCGCAAAGCCACTGTGCTGCGGTGCATCTCCCAGATCGCATCATTTCATCACAGAAAACTACTCATCTTCATAAATTGGGAAGACTCAATCTGAACTGCTATGTGTGCTTATGTAAACCCTGCCCACACACTGCGAAACACTCAGTGTGAACAAAATGTCTTGATGTGAAATCATGAGTTAATATACTAAAAAAAAAACAAAAAAAACTTGACAGCACTAAAAGCTGCTGCTGATGGTTCAGATATTGAAAATAAAGTGTCACTGGTGAAGTGGTGCGGGCTTGAGCAAAAAAAAAAAAATCTGACTGCAGTGAGAAATGTGGATTAGTAAACAACCGCAGGAGCCTCTGACAACCTGCAGGGGGAGCAGTCTACATTCATAACACCAGTGCCCCGCTGGGACAGAGTCCACAACAACACTGCAACTTACTCTGTCACCACACTGACAGCTCACCCTCTCTCAACATGGCTGATAATAATGTAAATCACATGATGTTCCAGGAGTTCCTCTCCCTCTGAACACACAACGGACCAACTGTTATACTTTATATGATCCTATAAATGTGCATCGTCTCTCCTGACAGACGCACCAACTTAACTGTGTTGTTTACCGACGCTTGCTGTGATCATGATGCCAGACTCGACTCGGGGTCCCGTCTGGTGAGAGTGTTGTTGATCGAGAACACCAGGAGAGGAAAATATCTAAATAAAGCTCAGGATATAAATGATTCAACACATATGAGGATTGTCTGAATGGAGGAGCAGCAAAGTGAGTGGGGGTAGACAGGAGAAGAGGAGGAGTGGGAGTCACTTGGGAGGCTGGTGACAGGTAAAGAGTGTTATAGAGGAGCTTCATTAAGGCTGATGTGATTCATTCAGATATATTTTCCATCCACATACAAATACCTGCAGTGGTGTAAATATTGCCTCCAGTGTGAATCATCAACATTTCAACAGTGAAGTAGAAAGGGAGTGAGTGTGGCTCTGAATAAAATAGCATTTGTTCATGTGTTTGGCAAGAGCGAGTAACAGGCACTTCAAGGTCGCTTGCTCCACCACCAGAAATGCAGCAGTGAAAGAGAGGAGCAGGAGACTAAAAATTTTGGCTTGCGGCCAGCAGATGCTGCCAAAAAGTCTGAGGTGTGACTGGATATGTGTGTGTGTGTGTCTCCTCTGTGTGTGTGCCATCCCTCCCTGCGCATGTGTTTATACAGTATGTTCCAGGGTGACCAGCTGATACCAGCCGGTATTTAATATTCAGGCTATATCATATCATAATAAAAGAGAGAGGGAGAAATCGATTCCTCCGGTGACAATTAGGCTGAGAGGGGTGAGCTGAGGACACAGAATGACAGGAAGAAGCACCATATGTAACACTGCAGGTCTCTCCTGATTCATTCAGTCTTGCTCGTAGAACAGGCAAATCAGATTCATGCTGTTAAACTGCTCTCAAAGCGAGCTCTCTGCCAGATGGGAAATGCTAAACTATCGTACTGGAGGCTTAAAATTATTGTATTTCGAGGGAAATGAATGAGTCATAACCATTAGAACAAATACGTGTGAATGTGTAATTTTATTAAACACATGTTTAGATGACTTTTTGACACAACTACAAATCTAACCACATCAGTTTGGCTTGTTTGTTTTTTAATGTAAGCTGATGTAGCCACAGTGCATGGAAGGAGGTGTTAGGGCTGGGCGATATAATGACTATGTACCATATACTGATATATTTTCAAGCAAGATATAGATTGAGACACTGTTTATATTGATATAAGGACAAGTTGTGTTACGTAACGCTCTCCAGTGAGCATCTCTCCTCTCTCCCACTCTCCGCACAGCTCCACCCCACTCATTCACTCACAGTTTCTCCATCAACAAGAGAGAGAGACACACAGAGTTGCTCCTCTGTTTAATCCGTTTGTTAATTAGTCTACAGTGCGACATCGGTCTATATGTTGGGCGTGCTACGCTAAATCAGTCTATGAGATGAAATTACCACAGCACATGTGCAATCCAGCACTGCGCTGCTAGTTTGTGTGCGACGTGGATCATAGCGCATCACTGTTCTTGGTAGTTGTAGTCTATTGTGTAATGCTGAGCCATCGCCTGGATGCAGGTGACAGATGTGCTTCAAAATACAGCAACAATAAAGGTGCTTCATATACAAGACCTATGTAACGCATACAAAGTGTCTCTTGCTCCTTCGCTCCCTTGGCCTCTCTGTTGATGCTGTGTGCATAAATAAGATTAAAAGCCTAAATGAATAAAAAGATCTAAATAATTTTCCATCACTAGATTAATTTGAAAGGAAGGGAAGGGGGTCACATGAAAAGAGAAGCATAAACACAGATTTGGGACCTGTATTTTGTCATCCTGATCATGTTGAGAAATGAAGTAAAGTAAGTAAGACAGCGCAGACTAAAACCAGCTAATAATTGTAAGCGTCACAAAATGTGAATGTATCGCAAATTATGGCACATTTGGCATCGATCATACATCGATCATAGGGGCAAAATTATCTTACAAATACGATAATTATCATATATCTGGCAGAGCTGGCTGTCACTGAAGAAAAATGTTGAAAACATGGATTATTTTCAGCAACACACAATAGGTCAAGTTCCAGCCTCTGTATAAAAAACAAAACAATAAGTCTGTTTATATTTCAAGTGTCTGGAGATTGTGTGTGCATGCTGGCATTTACACCCAAAGCTATTTAAGCATCTTAGATGACGCAACACTGAAGTTGTTCCAGACACACTGCTGGACTGTCAGTTGTTATTGGATTGGCCGTCTCTCATTAGATAAAGCCGATGTGAGGTCCAACATGTGTTGTGGTCATATATTGGTCACTATGGTATCTGGAGGAATAGCACTAATTAATACAGTGGGACATTTGATTAACATTTTTAAAATGTCCTAAATACCCATCTTAGAATAAACAGTTATTCTAAAATACTGCAGGAACATTTATGAACTTTGGTAAAAATCATTGCTGTTTCTTTTCCAGTATTGTGACATTTGAATTTCCAGGTCATTTAGTTTCTGAAGATGGTGCTCTTTATCTGTTCAGCAGCAGTGTCTTTAACTTCTCATGCATCTGTTCTCTTTCTAAAACAGCTGTACAGTACACCAAACACTCATCATGTTCAATACACTAGAGCATTATTCTTGGGAAAACACCAACATAACATCAGGTGTTAAAGGACTCAGACTTTTGTGAATTGTATGGAGAATGCAAAGCCTATTAATGCCAGACCCCTTATAGAAATTCTCCATGAGACATTATAGTCCAGCAGTGCAGCCATACAACTGTGTGGAAACCAACCTGGTGATATAGGCCTCAGAGATCCTGGTGTCAGAGGGCGAGCTGATGTCTTTTCCCGAGCATTTATCCTCTCCTGCGTGGCCGCTGCTGGCCTCGCTGTCAGCCTTCTGACTCAGAGTGTCTGAGAAGTTGTCATCTCTGGGACACAGAGACGGGGTGACATTGAGACATGGAAAGAGCAAGAGGAAGTGACAGAGAAACCGACAGACAAGAAAAAAAAAAAAAGAGGAGAAACCAGCAAATCAGTCGATCTTTCATATTTGCTCCGTTTTTTGATGACAGTATTTGATATCAGTTTCCTGTGAGTCAGCATGTCTCCCTCCCCCCTCCCCCCTCCCCCCCGCCAAGGTCCAGAGAGTCAGATGAGTCATATTTCTCAGCCTCTCTGTATTCTGGTGATGTATTATGGTGGTGACACGCACACACAAACCAGCTGTATGGGTTTCAGTGAGGTGTGTGACTGGATACTGCGTACAGTTGGTGCCTGTCAGGCGGCAGTAATCAGAGCTACTGAACTGCGTGGCTGCCTCTGATGTTGTGTATTATCCGATATAAAGCACAGTCACTTATTTAGTACGTCCACGTGAATGCACACAGACAGAGACGGAGCACGAATGAGCACTTCTCCACAGCAGAGGTGGCCGTAAACAAAATTTACAGACAGACACAAGAAAGTTTGAACACCCTGACAGTCGAGTCTTGAGACAGACATCCTGTGCTGAAGTGGACTCTCAGACGCCTCTCTGCATGTTTTATTCTGGGCTCTTTTATGGGACAAGTGAAGATCACAACCCCGTGCGCTCTTACACTCCTCAGCCGGCTCTGTTTAAGTAGAGAGCAGGATGTTACTACGCTCGGGGACAACCCGTACAACTGTAAATTCCCCTGCTCTTTCATTAACTAAGAGGACACCCCATCAGCAGTGCCCCTCCTGGTGAATTATTGATGGAGGCGCACTGACGGGACAGCAGCAGGGGAAAGAACAGGGGATGAGGAAAGAGGGGGAGGTATTCTAAATGGCCATTTTGACGGCCAGCTACTAAGTGATTGGAGTGATTCTTTTCCCGTCCTAACGAGACAGTGAATCCAGTGCATTAGGCACCAACAGTCGCCATGGCAGAGCACATGCTTGTTAGTGCTGAGAATGGGAGACAGTGACACAACGGCTGGTTGAAAACCCTGGATATTGGGAATGCTCCATGGGGCAAGGATGAGAGCAGCTTTAAGGGCAAACAAGGCTGAAGGTCCTCTACACACGACCCTACAGTCTACTGATGGTCCACAGCCTCTTATAGAGTAAAGTCAACAAGCACAAGTGTTGTTTAACCAACAGGGATATCATCAGGAAGAGCTGTAGGACCGTTCCTTAAACCGAAACTCCAAGGCTCTGAGTGAAGCTGACAGTAGTTTAGGTGTAGAAAGAAACATCTCCATGGTGTAACACCTGTGGGAATTATTAAAACTATGCGATAACAAGATTAAGAATGTTTAGTCATGCTTGTAGCTCTGTGAGGCCACACTGGAGCACGGTGGTGCTTTGACCTGAATGCTAATGTCAGCATGCTAAGATGATCACAGTGCTAATGCTAGCTAGCTGATGTTTAGCAGGTATGTTTACCATGTTCACTGTCTTAGTTTAGCATCTTAGCATGCTAATGTGCTAATTAGTGCTACACCAGTTGAGGCTGATGAAAATATCAGATTTGGTCATAGTGTGGGATAAAATTTTGACCAGATGTTGATGCTAGATTAAAAGACATGGGATCACTGAAGTTCTTTCAGTTTATCCTGCCGAGATCTTGGCACTTCAGTACAACATTTCATGTCAATCCATCCATTATTTGTCAAGAGATCTCACTGAAAGAGTGCCAGTAAGTAGGGTTAATCCTCTGGGGACCATGAATATACAAGATTTCATGGGAATTTATGCAATAACTGCTGACATATTTTAGTCTAGACCAAATTAGTGAACCGATCAACAGACAGACATTACTATCAGTGCCAAGTCTTGCTTTAAAGATTCTGTTTACAACATTCAGAGCATTAATATCGCAGCAAATCACTGTTTGTTATGTAAAGATATAGTAGAGTAAAGGTGTCCTGAGCAGACAAGACTACATCATTAGAGGTGATCTGACTGGTTTAAAACAAGATAGCAAAATTGCATAACAATGTAACTTTATCACACATATAAAACTTGTAACGTGTTTTCTTTAATTCCTATATCAGTATAAATTCATCTGCTATCGTTCAGACATAAATTCTCTCCTAAGCTTGGCACTGACTGGATACATTTATGCTGTACTTGGCCAGATCTAAAATTATGCTGAATGATGAACACTTACATGTCTTGGACAACAATATACTGGTGTGGCACCAGGCCATCGATGCCGTTGTGCCGTCCCTCCCACCAGTCTTCTGACGCCCGCTGATACAGCAGCAGGGAGGCACCCTTCTTGAAGGACAACTCTCGGGAAGAGCGCCCAACGTAGTCAAACTTGGCAATGGCTTCAATGGGCTCGCCCTCTGTCAACAGGGAGAGGATTAGACGGGTCAGGTATGTCAGACTAGGAAAAGGCATCAAATAGAGACAGCTCTTATCGCATGTGCGGACATTTCCAATGATTGATACAAGTGATGCGGTCTTATGAAAAAAATCTTCATCCGGATAGACAACACATGCACTTAAATGCATGTTGACTGTGATGCAAGAGAGTCTAGTCAGGACTAATAGTGGCATGTTTGTGCACGAGGATGCTCATGTGTGACAGTTTGTGCACATGGAGTTCAAGTGTGCTAAGTCAGTTGGTTCTCTTAGTTGTAGTCAATAGTAACCCAGCACTACAACACCAGGCCGGGGCAACAACAGGCCCTGAGGAGCTTTAGCAGGATATTTATAGACACTGGTGAGAGGAGATCTATATGACTCAGGGGCATGTCACTCACTGTATGGATCATTAGACTGGGTTGATACCTACTCAATAACTGCACAAGTAGAGCTCTGGATCGGTGACTTTGGAAATAAACATGAGAAAGACCAGTAAATTACAGACAGTAATAACCAGTATAAACAGTGCAGCTACTACTGTATTATATTACAATTAATTAGTACTGATTGTGTTACTTATTCAAATCAGTGAACATCAGTCTTATATCGATGTTTATCTGGAAGAAAACATTTGTGTTTTCAACGACCGCTACAGTCATCTCTCCTATTCAAAAAGGTACCGTCTCCGAGCCAATATGCACGCACTACAGCAACACAGGTCTAAAAATAGCTTCTTTATTCCTCCCTCACTCTTACCTCTGCCCTCCTCCCATCTCACTTCAAGTCAGACAGACCCCCTGGACAGACGTAGCCTCACCCTCACACAGGCTCTCTGCATACACTGGGAACAAAGTAAATGGCTAAAGCTTGTATCGGCTGTGAAAAGCCATCATGGTATATCTTTCACAGGAGCTTGAAAGTAGTTCCCAGATGAGCAGAGGCCAAGTGAGAGAGGAAATACAGGGGAGGTTTCTTCATTTCTCTCAGTGTCCTATTCCACCTCACCTACTTCTATTATACTTTTTTTTCCCCAACCTTTAACTTGCCACCTTCCTTGCTTCACTTGGTTGTCAGGACTGACAGGGTGGATGTGACGCGGCTCAAATAAAATGTGACAAGAAGGAATTTACTGTCTGAATTAATTGGGCTGCACTGCAGCAGACAAGGACGTTAATAAAGTTGACGGGGCCCTTATCGGTGCAGGGGATTTCTCTCCCTCTCTATTTTCTCCATCTCTTTCTCTCACTTCAACCTGTCCATCCATCTATCCGCCCATCCTCCTCTGCTCTGCAAATGTTTATCCAAGGCGCGCGCACACACACACACACACACACACACACACACACACAAACAGACCAGCACTGCAGTGACGTGGCCACTGCTGAAAGCATAAACTCAAACCTCGGTGTGGTAAAGGATCCCCTCTGTCATGTTGTGCAATTATAACCGAGAATCGTTTCAGACCCAACCACCCGAGGTTACACACACACACACACACACACACACAAACACACACACATACACACTCACACTGCGACTGGAGTTAAAGAAATGTTGAATCGTTAGAGCTGGAGGCCTGTGGTGTAAGAGATACGAACTGTCAGATGTCTTACACAAGCCAGTGGAGCGAAGTCAGGGTGGATGTTGCTCTACATTCATGTTCATACATAGAAATTGGGGAGCAGAAGCCTGGTGTAAGATACGGTTAGGATCAATATAATAGGAGAAGATAAAAAAAAAACCCACTTCTTTTCTTCCTTTTTCTCTCCTATCCAAACCTTCCTCTGAAGAATAACATTAATCTCAGGTGCTTGCTGCTACTTGAAAAGACAAAAGTGGGTTAGATGCAGCTATTTATGGGGAAAATAGATGACCCTCTATGTTGAGTAAAATACACTACCCTTTACAATACACAGTACGCCGGGGGCACTTGACAACAAGGCCATCCTGCTTCACTCCTGCAAAGTGATATATAATCAATTAACCAGTTAGTTCACCTTTGACCTTGTAGCAGATTTACCAGCAGATAGAACATCGATGTATTGATGGCGTGCGAGAAATGCCACTCTAAAATCAGACAATTAATCTCCAGGCACGACAGCCACGGTCCATGAGACTGTCATGTGTGCTGATGTTTAGCAGGTACAGCTGAGGCTGATGGGAATGTCATTAGTTTTTCAGGTATCAACTAAAATATGGGTAAAGTTTTAACTAGATGATGGCGCTATATGAAAAGGAAAGGGATCACCAAAGTTGTTAAAGTTCATCCTGAGGGGGCCATGAATGTGTGTGCCAAATTTCACAGGATAAATAAAAACTCTGACCTGCTGGTGGCGCTAGAATAAAAGGGAGGAGATCAGCAAAGTCTGTAGGCTTCATCCTCTGGGGACCATGAATGTCTGTACAAACTTTAATGGTTTTCTGTTTATTTATTTTTTGGTTATTTGGATGTTTAGCTCTGTGACCTTGACGTCAGGGCTCAAAACACTGTTGCTGTGTACAGCCACTGATGGGTGTAACTTTTAAAATCACACACACCATTTTTTGTATTTTTTTTTTTTGTAACTGCACCAATATATATATATTTTTTTTTTGGCACTTCCGCCATGAACAGATCTGACCAAAACAAAACCAATATCGACCACTTTAATTGGTAGTGATGTGCTGTACACAACATATTTTGACTTTTTAATTTAGTTTGGAGTGAGACAGTAAAATTACTGCAGATTTTACATGGTCATAGTTAGAGTTATCTTGAACATGACACTTTTGAAAATTTCAGCAAACCTCTGAAGGAAAAGATTTCATAAGGGTTTAAACATGAAGACATTGTCAATGTGTTAATATGGAAAAGGAGCTAATTTTCCATTTAATTTTCTCCAAAACTGAAGGAAATGTTAATTTATTTCTGAGTTTAAAAACGAGGACATATTCAGTGTGTTACAAACCTATTATGGAAACTGTTACATCAAATTAGGACTTCTTTGCTGATGGTTTTATTTGCTGTGGTAATACATGAGAAGCAGAAACTGGGGCGAAGCTTTATAGAACACCTAACATGAGACTTTATTTGTCTTACAAATAAACATCCACATTGTTGTCTTCCAAGCTAATTAAAGTAGCAATCACTTAGCTTTCCCTTTCTGTGTGCTCTGTGTAAATCTTGCCAGTCCACGTCATCTATCTGAGCTAATGAGCTCTAACACACTCCACAGGGGGGCTGTGGGGACGACATTTCCGGACAGCTACTCAGACCGTGTGGAATGACTTTTACTCTTGTCTCTGTCTCGTGTTCACTTACTTGGAGGGCAAAGAAGGCAAACGCATTTTGAGCTTTGAGAAGAGTAAACATAAACTATTTCCAGTCTGCAGAATAAAGTGCTGGTAACCAAACAGGAAAAGAGGTTTGCTTTTGTGTCTGAAATCCAAATGAGGTCATGGGGATTTAAAAATAACTGACGACAATAACTTGACCACAGTTCAAAACTCCGCAGGGAGGGACTCCAGTCAGTGAGGACATCCTCCCAGTCCGCTCAGAGAGAAGCTTTAGGAACAAAACCATGGTAGCAAGGGATTTCTGGAGAACATAATCTTCCATTAATTACTCAAAGAGTTGATAGCTGCCATCTGTGTTTTACAGTGGGAATCCTCACAGAGAGAAGTTTCCCTGTATAATCAGATGTCCTTTTTATTTATAAAGGACATCCAGATGATGACTGGAGTTGTTCACAGCTGATGTAATGTGAAGAGATCTACCACACTGCCTTGCTCTTTCTATGGAGACTGATGACGAAAGGTGAAAGGGAGCCCCTAAAAATCATCTCTGGGTGTGAAAAGGAGACAGGATTGGGGCAGTTGTCACCATGGAAACAGGTTTAGGGAAGTCTGTTACTAAGGTAAGATGTGAAGCCTTCTTGGCTCACACTGTCTACATCTGGTCAGCTCTCTGTCACAGATATTTATCACTTTTTAATGAGCTGCAAGTTTTATTGTCTTTTCCTGCTTTTTTTTGCTGGACGTTAACAGCGACGTCTGACCCCAGCTGATATTTTGGTTTCGGCTAACTCACTCACTATTTGATTTGGACCGGACCAACTGGTATTCATTTCACTCAAACAAAGGACCACATGTATGATCACACAAATCTACAGTATCCCACCATGTCTGAGAGAGGTCTATTGTATCCTCCAGTGTCTACACGAGACTGGTGTTATTTCTATTTCTCCATATTTCTCTTGGACACATGGAAATGTGGTAAAACGTAGAGAAAACACAGACCCTATAATATTTGGAAAGCTATTAAAACCTGACACTTCTGACGCACCCTCATACATTTGCTATTCTTTTATAAATACCTGAAAAAAATGAGGAAATTGAAAATTTAAACCCAAGACTGTGACCCTTAGAGAACAGGATTTCTCTCCCAAAGGGTTCCCGTTGGTGTGGACCACCCTGGAATTTGTAAAAGGGGGATGTGGAAGTGTCCCGAGGACCCAAGGGAGAAGCAAAATCATTAGAATATGAATGGCTGTCCATCAATGCGAGCCCAGTTTCCTGGCCCTTCAAGGTTAACAGGCTGAAAGGCAGGATTAGCTGCAGTGTGACCCAGAGAGCTGGACTCAAACCTCAAAGTACCACGAGCACAAGGGAAAGTTTCAACATGGACAGAGCATATGGATGCTGTGGATGTAATGAATTAAAACTCGATGAATGATACAGTCTTGTGGAAAACATGGCGCAAAACAGACAAATGCACACATATAATTGAGGTATGTACATTATTATGGACTACAAGCTTACATACATGTTTGTATAGTTACTTACCGTCCTCGCTGGTGTGTGTTTCTGTCCCTCCCTCATTTTCTACTTCCTCCAGGGCTCCATGCTCACTGTAGGGGCTCTCACTGTGGGGGACAATGACAGACTGTATGAAAATATGGACGCAGCCATCGTCACGACACACAATGGTTTGTGAACACACACTCTGAAGCCTCAAGTTTTGGCCGTTGCCCTCTCATCCAACCGATATCTGGTCAAGACGGTGGGGCTGTGGAGGAGAGAGGGGTGGATGTGACTCATTAACTGTAGCTGAAAACAGCATGTCACTCGTAACTCATGCATAACTTTAAGCCCTAATAAATTAAAAATGGCGAGTAAAGACCCCCCGTTCAGTTGTCATGTATGTAAAGAGACCAAAACTGTTTTTTTTTTTTTTTTTGTACCAGTGACCGGCTGTAAACATGTTTATTTCTGCTGAACAGTTGGACATGTAAGCATGGCAGTCTATAAGGATTGACTCGCTTTTGGAGCCAGCCTCAAGTGGCCATTCAAAGAACTGCAGTTTTTTGCACTTCTGCATGGGCTTCATTTTATTGCCCCAGAGGCTGCCAATTGGGGACAACATCTTAACTCTCAGGGTCAAAGCTGAGGCAGGGTCAGGGGTTAAGGGACAGTCAGGGAAAGCCTATTTTTTCCTTCACTTCTTTTTCTCTGGGAAAATGAAATTTGTTTGAAGTCACTTTATCTCCTAACTCAGTTTGCAACATAAGGCTTTTGCTCAATTCCCGATGGTCACATCTCATTTCAGTGAAGATGACGGGAGGGCAGGGAGGTTTTAAATTTAGTAAGACCTTGAGGAAGTTCAAATAGTGGTCGTCATTCTGTGGGAGGCTTAGATCCTCTGTCTGTGGTTGGGCCTCTTTTTCTAAATGGACTTCTCCTGGCATCGTGCTGATGGAGTTGGTGGTAATGCCACACACAGATTACCCCTGCCAGGAACTGAGTGTCTCCTCCCATGCTAGCATGTCACCAGCCGCCTCCTCTTCTGCAAGAAAGGGAGGCAGCCAAGACAACAAATCTCCCTAGGGGTTCGTGTGTGTTGCCAGGGGGGACACAGTCGCGCTGAGACGGGTGATTAGCTCTAGCCAGGGATAAATCCCTGTCAGCCTGTGGTGATGTGGGGGCATAGAGAAGGAGAAATAGAGACAGATAAAGAGAGGAAGAAACAAGTGATAAGCACTGCTTACAGATGCGGAGCTGGCAAATGGCTTTAGGTTTGATCTGTTTAACTACAGTATGTGCTGCAGTTCACCTAATTATTCTCTCCCTGCCAGGTGACCTTTCTTTTATCCTCCTGCCATGATCGGGATAATTAATGTGATTGTTTCAGCCTGTCTCACCTAGAGAAGGGTCCATCATTTAAAGTCAGCAATAAAACATGCACTGCCTTGTCATGTTCTTAAACCACAGACGCATATTTGGGGATTGTAATTAGTCATATCAACTCCACTGACATACTACTGACACAGCTGCAGCGCTGAGAGCGCACGCATACCTGCATGCTGAGTGAGTCCCTAATGAAGGAGGTTTGGCTGCAAGCCTCTTTCCATTCACGGTAAGAGAAAAAAAAAAGTGGAACAAGTAAACCACCAGCGTCTGTCTGACTCTCAAACCTACATGTCGTTTAGGAAATCTGTGCAGCTGCATGAAGTGATCTCATCAGAATGCTTTCCATCTTCTCTTTTTTAATCCTGGATAACCCACAACTTGACCTTCAGACACCAGTGACAGGGTGGCCTGGTAGCTGGTGCGTGTCTTGTAACTCAAAGACTTTTGTAACAAAGCCATTTGAGTTTGCAAAAGAGGAAACACAACCATGACCTAAATGCATCATTCCTCACCAGTAGTCTCCTCCAGCCATACACTTCTCATAGATGGGCCCGTCCAGTTCTTTGGCATCAGGAAAGATGGTCTCATGGTGGATGATGATGGTCTTGACGATCTCGTTGACGTGGGCCTGGCAGGAGACCTGGTCCTGGCTGTCTGGTGTGGGCATGAGTGTGGGGCCGAAGCATATGGCCAGATTGTACGGGTCCATCATGTTCTCGTCACTGTACTGGGACAGGCTGGAGAGAGGAGGGTGGGTGGAGGAAGGGAGATAAAAAAAGGAGAGATAGGGACAAGGTGTTAAGGCGGTGTTAAGAGGACATACCACTGGGGACAATATTATATAGTGGATGCTCTTTACTTAGAACGACATGTCATAAAGAGGGGACAATCTTTATGAAGTGAGATACAGGATGGATTTACTGGTTAGTGTCTATAAACTTACTGGTTGAGGAAGGCGAAAAGGTAGCGCATGACGATGAGGACTGATCTAGGAATGGTCAGGAGGATCTTACGGATGTACAGCGCTCTCTCATACAGGTTGTCTATTCCTAGAGCAGCAAAAAAGGACAGAGGGTATGATGTTAATATGGCAAGAAAAATATTGTTAGATTAATAAAGATGGCTTTGTTTCCTTCCAATCGCCTCTGCTGCACGTCAAATGCACCACCTCATCTTTCTGATCATATTGACGCTGAGCCAATTACTTACTCCTGAGAGTCTCTGGAGGACCAGCAAAGATTTACTAATGCAGTGATATGTAAAATGTGTTTGTGTGGAGGCCACAGGAAATGTATCAGCTCTGTGGTGACCTTCACCTCAGCCTGTGTTTGTCTGCTGACATCAAAGAGGAAGCCCTGATGACGAGGACGCTAGGTAGCTTTTCCTGCTCTAAATGAAAACACAATCTCTCTAAATCCATTTGTACAGTTCTCTATTATTTCACTCTTTTTTCTGTCTTGCAGAAATTAGGATTTTACTGACAAAGGAGTAACTTTTTCTCACACATATTTAGCACAGGAACATTTTCAGAACTTTAAACATAAACAAAGCATTTAAAATCCTATTATGCTTTATCAACATGCTAGACCGCCAACCTTTGTGTCTTTCATTACTATCTCATTTGTTCCACTGTGGCACTTGAAGAAGCCTATTTTATTTGGCTGAGCTGGGGCTCTGCTGGCTGCTAAAAATAGCCCTGTCACCCTCCAGCCACTTTGTGCCATCTGGGATTTAGGCTTCTGGGATACTTGTGATGTATTTCATTTTTCATGAATACCTAACTAGGATTCTGCGACGCTCCCAAGCACTTCAGAAGCTACTGTTCAAAGATCTACTCCAGTGTATGCTTAAACATCACCTACAAACATGACTGTGAGAAAACCCACGCAAAACATCCCTGCTGCATTTCCAAAATGAAAGATATGAGTTGCTGCAGTATGCCACTGTGGTGAGAGGAAAAAAAAAAAAAAACACAGTCAACTGAGAGCAGTTAAATGGAAAAGTGATCTCGAAGCTGGTCTAAGCTGCTCCATATGGAATAAGCAGAGGGTTTTTAATATGGAGCCTGCTGGGCGTTCAGCCCACACTGCAATCACTGGCATGTTGAGCTGGGGAATGTAAACAGGGAATCCCCATCACTCATCCTGCACAAATGTGTAAACGCACACCCAGGAAGCACACACAGACACACTTCTCACACACTCACGAGTACACAACAGCCTGCGTGAACATAAAAACGCACACAAAGTTGCACAAGGCATTACAGCACACACTGTGCCCATGTGACTCTGAGCATGTTCAATTGTTCTTTATCAGAGCCTTAAAGCTCCCCATGTAATGTCTTAAAAGATCAGAACAAGCCACACAAAGAGCTGACTGATCTGTGAACTGACTCGCTACAGAATGACAATGTGACTGTTCTTAGGAGGACTTCAGTGTAGATTCAGCTCTGGGTTCAAACACCGCTCAGTGCTGCGGACATTTAACATTCCACCACGATCCCGTAAGCATGGCCAACTTTGTGCCACTCATGACAGATAATATCCTTCTCAGTGCTCAACCAAATACCACAGAGTTATCAACACTAAGTGTCAGAGAGAAGTCAGGGCTATTCTGCTGTAAAACACCACTGATGGTTTATTATCCTGTTTCATCTGAGGACTATATTTGATGGGAATGAAGCTAAATAATAAGGCCAGGAAATAAAAAAAGGAAAGACTTGTGACGGTGCTTCAATAACAGAACATATCCATGAAAAAAATTAGCAAGCATCCACATTAACAAGTATCAGGCATTCTCAATATAAACAAATCTGCACAGCCTCAAACTGATTTCATGACCACAGTGTATGTGGTGGTGAAAAGGCCTAGGAATATTTGACCCTTAAGGTCACGTTAGAAGCAAAACATGTTTATTAAAATTGAGCAACCCTGAATAGTCTCACTCTGGGGAGAAGTCTTAGAACAGAGTGAAAACATTCAACACATACTGTAGTCCTTTTGCTTTGTTAGAGTTTTATCAATGTTTTTCAAAGTTTCTAACTTTGAAAAAGCCCACACAGCTGATTGCAGACCAGTGCAAGTTTAAGTCCATCAACACTACCCTGATGTTGGGGAATTTTGGGGAATAAAACATGGTGTAAGGGAGAAGAACAATGTGAAGAGTATACACAGCTTGTGGAAATGTATTTTCATATGCTGTAGTTTGACAGACAAAAATATAATGATGTGAGAATCCATACCCTATTTGAGTGAAATTTATCTGAATTCCAAAAAATCTCCCAACACCACAAAGGTTCAACAGAAAAACACTCTGTTGTCATGCCCATACAGGCGATACAGCCGTACATTATTAAACACAGTTCCTAGGCATTGGCAGATAAGCAAACTGCTATATTTGCTAACTTTACTCAATCATTAGACATTTCCATCACTTACTAGCTGCATATGCCAATAGACCAGACCAGCACATACGGGTACCTCACAAAACGTGAAGGCTGTGCCCCTTTTTGGGGGTCAAAGATCACAGAGATGTCAGTGCAATTTGACGAGTTTTGATTATAATTTCGACAAGTTTGTATGCATGTATTTCTTGTTAAACAAATGTTTAATCATGGACACGTCTAATAATTATTTGTGACCCTGTGTTTATGATATCTTACTAAATTAAGGTCGAACACATCATGTCCCTTTAGGCTTCCCCCATCCAAGAGGATAAATGACCCAACACAGCGGCCAACATTGCTTATCAGGATACCTACACAATAATAGATGTCCACATCACATTGTCTGTAAATAACCACTTGTTAATAGCCAACTGTTTGAGATCCAGACAGTCTGATACTGCTGTAGTGTCTGACTGTATTGCAGCAGCCTCCCACTCAAGCTAATGTTGGCTATCCATCAGGAGTATCTGTCACCAGCATCATTTAGCAGTTTACCACACTGACAATGAATATTTATGTATCTAGGCTTCAGTTCTCCCGCGACACAACAGCTTTTCACCATGTTCCTGTTTGTCTTTTTAGGTGACAGCACGTTTCTTTCCCTCAAAAGGGGGTACAGCCTTGATGATGACTTGACACCGGTCTGGTTTATGCACATCACATAGTACTGGTGGCAGCACAACACTAAATTTTAAATTGGTAATGTAAGAAATAAATTTCCGGTGGACATGATTTTTATGAACATATTATAAACAATCGCCAATATGGTCAAAACATTCCATTCAAGGTCCAGTGTGTAGGGTTTAAGGGGATATTTAGGCAGAAATTGAATATCTACCTCTACTCCTACTTTATATCTACATTGGGAGCAGGTACGGAGTCTGCCATGTTGCACCGCTATGTTTCTACAATGGCCCAGAGCAGATAAACTAAACACTGGCTCTAGATAGGACAATCGCATTTTCACATTGGTCACAATATTTAACAGCTCCTCTGCAACGAGCAGTGTCAGGAAAATATATATATATATATATATATATATATTTATTCTGTGTTTTCGGCTGGTTGCAATCTGCAGTCCTCACTGCTAGATGCCACTAAAACCACCTAAATCTCACACAGTGGACCTTGATTTGAAAATTATTCCCAGGCCTGGAAAACAGTTTTTCTAATTTCAAAACTTTTCCCAGAATTTCATGATTGTGTGAATCCTGCTCAGAATAAAACTACAGGTATTAAGAAAAAATGTGTGTGCTCTTACTGATGCAGGACAGCAGATCATTGAACCTCTCCTTGGGGAAAAGAGGATTCTCCAGACCACGGAAGTAAAGTTTGAGAACGCCAGCCACCGAGTTGATGTCATGATTGTTCTCCTCGTCCGTCAGGGGGTCGTTTCCTTAGACACAGACAAGTGAACAGGTTAGCTGGACACCGTTGAATCATAAAATGCACATGAGCCCACCGTCTAAATATAGCCAACATAACAGACATCATGTACCTCTTTCGAACGAGTTCTTGATGTCGTTGACTTCCAGCTGGGATCCAGATACACGAAATATTCCTTGATGTTGGAGACCTGCACAGAGAAAGTCAAACAGACAGTAAGGAAGGAGGAACAGAGGGTAAAGGAAAGACACACTCATCATGTTCCTAAGTCCACTCTGACGGTCACAGAAAGAAACTCACTCACTCAGCAAATAAAGCCTACTTTAGTTGGACCTAAAAGGCACATCCTGTTCATTAAGCCCCTTCACTTTTCTAATTAAAGATAATTAATGAGTCAGGGAAGCCACAATCAAGTTTACTAAAGTGTCTTCCAGATGGGATTAGGACTTAATAAGGGGGGAGGTCAAGGATCAGGAGGAAGCATGATTAGTCTCTTTTAGATTTGTCCGTCATCAACTGGCTGCTGGATAGGATGCAGCAGACAAGCCTGCAAACGGTTACATCTCACTACTGTCACATCTTAAATGCTTTGAGTTTTCATTCTTTCAGAGTGTCTTTTTTTTAATCTGGTTGAAAACCAATAAAACCAATTGTAACTCATCACTTGTGCCAGGCTAAGCTTTCGCTCTGTCGGTCTGTCTCACGATATGTTTGGCAATCTGGGTGTAAAAAGGCTGCACCGCTGTAAACAGGATGGAATCTGCATTTTCCCATGACTGAACACACTGAAACCCCAACATGAAAAACTATGTACACACCCAAAACAATTAATGCCTGTAAAGCACTGGAACTTTTCACCCAAGTCAGACAGACTTGGAGATGAAGCAGGTTGCAGTTGGTTTATGAGAAGAATTCATCAAAGAAAATGTAAACACAGTCATTGAGGTTTGAAAGTGTATCTGACGTGACAAAACACCAAAAATAACCAACTCACCATACAAATTTATGTAGCGAATACAGCTCTCAACCACACGGGGGATAGCTTGTCCAGAGTCCTTTGAAGGCAAGTAAACAAAAACACCCAAATGTCAGATCATGTATAATTTGCTGTTTTTATTACACGTACAAGAGTTAGAGCCCGACAGATACTGGAAGTCCAACACATCATGAATACCAATAATTGAGAATAATAACAATCTAATGCAATATATTGCCTTTTTTTCCCCCCAAAACATCAGTGGTGGAAGAAGTTCTCGAGAAAAAATAGTATTTACTAAAGTGTAGGAATACTTTACTTTAAGTAAATGCCCTGCATTTAAAATATAACTTAAGTAAAAGGACAAAAGTGGCATCAAAATGCATTTAAAGTACAAAAAGTAAAAATACTCATGAAGCATAATGACCAAATTCAGAAAAAATGTATATTCAATTCAATTTAATTCAATTCAATAGAACTTCATTTATCCCAAAACAAATTCTAGTACCAGAGAATGCTTCACATATCAGATTACAGTTACTGATAGATGAATGTACATATCAATTTAAAGTTTCATCTAATAAAAGTGGGATTAATTTTAATTACTTTGTGCTGTCTATCTAAATCTATAAAAATATATTTAATTTGTTGATAATATTCTTTATTAATAATCTGAATCTGTAAAGAAACTAATAACTTAAGTTATAGAATAACTGTAGTACAGTAAAAAGTACAATATTTCTCTCAAAATTGTAGTGTAGAAGTATAAAATAACAAACAGGACCTACTCACATAAAGCACAAGTACCTCGGAACTGTACCTAAGATTTGAGACTTCATTACTTTCCACCACTGTATAAAATACTAATAGTAATTCTGTGAAAAAGACATGTAAAAAACAAACATAACCATTGTTGGTAAATGTAAGATAATGTGAATTTTGATCAGTAAATGTCATTGGTATTTAAATAACTGAGAACATACAGGTCAATGCCAAAATATCTGATGTGTAGACGAATGATGTCGGCCTGCTGATGTATCAGTTGGGCTCTAACAGACACTAGTTAATGTTATGTTAAGCTTATATAAACATGCACACCCAGTGTCAGTGAAGTTGGTAGGTTTAGTTACACAGTGAGGGTTACCTTTTTGAGATCTTACTGAGACAGACTGAATCGACTCCCGTAATAACTCACTCATCGTGACATATCACTAAATATACTAAAATTACTGACGAGCTGCAATGACAAGCGTGTACAAACCTGTTGTTGAACACATTTCAATTGGCCTCCAGTGCTGCTAAATATACTTTGTGTCTAGTTATGCTAGCAATCAAGTGCACCCTGTGTTTAAATTAAGGAGAGCTTATCTAAAGAGCCACACACTCAATATGGAGCTCGGGGCAGAAGTGGTGAGATGAGAGGAGCAGCACCGTCTCCTTCAGATAAAACACATTCCTCTCACACACTTCGACGTGGACTGTACTCTTGTTCTGCTCTCGGTGCCAGCTGCTCCTGCGGCTCAGTGCTGGACAGGGGCTCAGTACATGCTTTTAATGATACAGTGGAGCTGTTTACAGCCCTCAGGGGTATACACACGGCCCAAACACGGCGGCCATGCCAAAATCGACTATCTATCGTTGGAGTGGAGCCGTGAGGGTTGAGGCACGGGTCTGATGCAGCAGGATTATGTAATGTTATCTCTTTGGATATGTGAGACTGGGGATGACTGCTTTGTATCACATAAATTCAATACCAATTTCGAAGCTGGAAGTGCTTCACGCTGGGAAACACAATAGAAACTGAAGATAAAATTTGCCGCAACATCTCTGTTTAAGGGGAAAACCTTCAATTCAGTTGGTCTCAGTCTGCTCACAGAGGTCGGGTAATGAATACAAGATACAGACAAACATGACACGAGGTGAAAGTGTTGTTAGGGCAGGACAGATGAAGAAATGAGCGCAGGCAGGCAAGCAGCATGGGCCCCCCAAGATGCTTCAAGGTGTCTACCTGATGTCGAGCGTGTGAGTTCCGTCGTCCGCGGCTACAGAGAAGTGTCGCAGAGAAACAGAAAAGAGAAAGAAAAGCAAGACCCAGATTAGGACCACAGCAGCTGCCCACCAAAGCTTTTACTTAGAGCGCACCCTCATTCCACTCTGTGCTGGCGTCAAACCCAAAAGGAAACAACGGGAAGTGGACAGGACCGGACACGGCCACCAGTGAGAGGCAGTGAAGAGGCCGGAGGAGGGAGGCAGCACACCTTATCAGTCTGGCATCCGCTCCCCGACTGCCATTTATCCTGCTGTTTTCACTGGCCTTTGCTCTCGCTCTGGAGGAGGAGGAGAGAATATCTCTGCCAGAGCAGCTCAGTGATGCCAGGTCAGCAGTGTGTCAGGGGAGCTGACTGAGACAAACATTTATCCCTCCGACTGCCACTCCTCTCCTCCTGCAGCCCTCCAAATCTATCAGAGCCACCCATACACCCCAGATGCAGATCGCCACAGCTCAATGACTCATGAGGAAGGCTTCCAGAATCCAGCATCTATGTTGTTGTTTGTTTTTTGTTGGTAAAAGATAAATCAAAGCTGAAATGCTTTGGGGAACCCACCAAAATGTCCAGAAAGCCAGAGCAAGACAGAAAATAGATAGGAGGAGGAGCAGTGTCAGGCGGGCAGACTGGTAATCAGTACCTTGATAAATGACTCCAAATTGCCATTAAATAACCTAACATTAAATACAGAGCGGGGTCTAGCCCGCCGGGTGCCGGTGTGGGTTTTGTATGGCCCGTTGGGATGTCTAGAATACAAAGAATGTGTTAGAATACGTAAACAATGCAGTTTTCCTTTTAAAGTGGTTTATCCATTCTCCAATAACCTTTATGCCCTTCAAAGACGTGAACTGAAGTCGAGACTGACAAATCTTTAAAACCCTTTGACTCAAGATGATGGACAGGTGAATGAGAGTATTTTCAGACGCCGCTGAAACCCGTGAATGAACTTTTGCTTTATAATCCCGTCTTTTCTTTCTCCACCAGATATCAGAGGCCAGTGAAATATCAGACCTGCTGGGAGCATCGCATGTGTCAGCATCCACCTCATGACAGGCACTGCGGGGGACTGCCTCTCTAAGTGTGTGTGTGTGTGTGTGTGTATGTGAGGCAATTCAATTTGGCTTCTTGTGACCTGTAGGACTGAGATTAAAAGAGTGCGGGTCTTTGGTGCCTTCTGCTGCTCAATCATAGTGACAAAATTATTCTGCTAGCAAAGGCTGAAGGTGTTTTAAATATCTGATCCGTAGAAATAGAATGAGGGTAGAACAGAAATTCCCATTCCAGTCAACACAGCAGGATGGTCACTGCGGCAGCTACTTTTATGTGTACCGTTTTCTTTACAACCACCGTAGCAGACTAACTTTCATGTAAAGAAACCAAATTGCAGCAAATTGTGAATTTACTGAGGTGAGACTTTGCAGTAATGACCAAACAAGCAGTGGAGTAGTATCGTTACATCTTCAAATAAGAAATCCATTACTTTTAAAGTATCACTACAACTATTATTTCACTGTTTCTGTTGGTGCCATCAATTCCATCTTTGTTGTAATGTGATGATCTGTAGCTGCTCTCAAAGAAGGAGTGAGAGCAGCTGCTCAGCTGGAAGCTGAGACGCATGTACAGCAAGTAGAGCCAGCATATCTTTTTACATCTAGCTCGCTGAATTAAGGATTTATTTTGATTCAAGACTAACTAAGACTGCCTTGGTGAGTTGAATTTTGTTTCAGTCAAGTTTGAATGAGTGTTTGTTCAGTGAATGAGACAAACTTTGACTGGGGTAGGGTTGTATTTTTCTGTTTAGAAAAAAAAAAACAGGTGGAAGAACAGGCAAAAACAGAGTTCTCAAACCAGTGAGTATGACACACTTGACGCATGTTGTCACCTTAACAGCTACCTACTAACGCTGTTTCCTGTTGTACTAGTCATATGACTATGGCAAACAGTTCAATGTCCTTTCTACTCATTTTATTTCTAAGATCTCATCACGCCAACACAACACATGAAATCTTCGCAACATGAATTAAACTGTGACATCAGGCATACCGTCCCAGCACTTGCTTTACTGACATTAAGTACTGGTGTACTGGTCATCTCCTCTCATGAGCTGAGAGGGCTGGAACTATTCTGCCAATAATTTTCTCAATTGATTTGTTGGTCAATAAAATATTGGAAATGGAACAGCCACGTGTACAAGAACATAAAACAAAGAAAAGCAACAAATTGTCTCAATTAAGAAGGTGAAATCAAGGAATTTTTTGTATTTTTGGATGAAAAATGATCTCAACAATCAACTTTATCATCAAAATAGTTGCAGACTGACCAGTTACTGGCGTGGCTCCATAGCTATTAAGTTTACACTGCTCACAAAGAACTGTATACTTTTCGTAGAATCAAATGTGAGTTACGTATGCAGCAAAATATGATCTGCTTTCAAAGGTGCAAAAGTTAAAGATTCAACTGACACATCTGTTCTTATTCATGTCTCTTTTGTTGCTCTGTGAAACTGAATAAACATTTAAATTTCATGCAAATTCGTTCCCCTCTCCTCTCTATTGCTCCTATCTTAGGTTAAACATTCTCCACTTTATCACCTCTCATTCGCTTCACAGGCCTGACATAAGACACTGTTGGGAATATGAAGTACAGTAAACCTGCCACACAACACCAGGTTTGGCTTAGAAAAACCCTCGGAGGCCGGCACATCTGTCTAACAACGGACTCCTCTGCTGTCATGGTCACAGAGGACTTCACATGAGAATACCCTGAGGGAGACTGTCCTCGCCTTCATGAGCAGCGACACATCACAAATGTTTCTGTCACTGTTGAAAGAAAAGTGGACTGCATGTGTGTCTTGAATATGCACAGGTCTTCAGGCGCGCGAGTGTTTGTGTGTGTGTGTGTGTGTGTGTGTGTGTGTGTGTGTGTGTGTGTTCGTGTACTTTACCTTGTGGTCATGTAGTCAGCTCTGTGGCCTGCGGATGAGGAGAGAAAAGAGAGGAGATGTGAGAGGAAGTTAGATGTGTGGACATGCCAGGACCTGTCTCTGAGGTCCCTGCGGTGCATTTTGCATACGGCTAGTGAAGCATTTTGAAGCCTGCCATCTGTCCGCAACCACTGGCCTCTTGAGCGGCACAAACAAAACCCGTACACACACCTACGCACACAAACACACACACAACAGGCTTAAAAATGCAACACTTTAGCTGCATTACAATTACAGCACAAACATCCACCAGGCACACAGTTTACGAGTGACGTAGGTGCACAGATACACTAATCATTATAGACATACACAGAGCTACAAGTTTGGACAGGGGAAGTTAGATTACGCACAAAATAGCTTCCAAATGGTTTTAGAGAACAGGAGTAGTTTCGTTTGTGCGGCCATCTGTTCCTGTGAACAGGATCTGACCTGTCTCCGTCTGGGTGACTCATACTGCACTCCAGCTCATTGACAACAATATGACTAAGGAGCGTGTGGGCTAGGCAGGAAGCTTTACTCTTCCTCATTAGCACACGGCTCCATTACTCCATTATTACGCGGACAGTTTGACTGAGACCACCAGGGCGGCTGGTTACAACAACGACTGACTGACACTCTCCTGGTTGACGGTAGATTAGCTGAAGCCCCGAGGAGATCCCACCAATGTAGACCAAGGAGAGGCTGCTGTAAAGACCGCCACCCCTCTTATACATGGCAGTCCATTAACTTGGAAGCAAATCAATCACTAAGACGGATAATACAAGTTCACAATCCCTCTCAGCTCTGGCTCGCCTGGCTAAAACCCAGATTACCATCTAGGAGCTCAGAATAGTGGAAAAAGCAGGCAAACAATGGGAAATTTGCCATGGAAAAGGCTGAAATTGCCGGAGTGAGACTGCAGAAAAGGAAAAGACAAAATTCAATAACTAATCATTAGTCACGTCGACTGTTTTGACACTGATTAGGGCTAATTTGCCCTCATTTTGGCTGGAAGGAGGCAACACACAAACTAGTGAAAGTGGATCTGACATTGAGAGGTACAGTGGGAGCTGTAAGAGTATAAAAGTAAAGGGATCGTGACTATACCTTCACCAAGTGTCCTCTTCAGCAAGTCATGTTTGGCCTGCAGTTTGGAAATGAGATTACTGCCCTCCAGAAACTCCCGGAATTTCTGTGGAGAATTGAGAGTAATTACACGGCGGCCCTGAGTGCCAGCCAGAGCACCCACTCTTAAGACAGCAATCTATGATAAGAAAGCCAAGGGCAAAGGACACGCTCAGAGTCTTTTTAAAGCCTTTATCAGACCATGTCCATCTTCAGACTGGAACAAGATAGCAGTTAGCCTCACAAAATGGGAATATTTTCGGAGAGCTACTCCTCTGCAAGCTGATCAAAAGTTTCAAAAGGCCTTGGTGCATGATACTCACACTTTTCTGTCCAATAGAATTTACATACACAGATTAAGCTTTTTAAAGTCCAGATAAAAGCTTTGAGTTCATATTCTCAGATACATTTTACAGAATTTTGTTGCGGATATTAAAGAGTATGTAATCAGACAAGAGAAATCTGGCATTTCCACTTCTTTTGAAATATCTAAGTATAGAAAGCTAAATGAGGCTTCAAAGAGGGATTTATTTCTATTTTCATAGGGAAATAAAAGACATCTTTGAAGTCTTCTCCCTTTGTATTTGCTCAGTCTTCTCTGAAACCACACATCTCCTCTCACCATGAAGTAGAACTGCTCTGTCTCCTGCTGGTTCGCCCTCCTCTTGGCAATGCTGGGTTTGCTGAGGTACGTCTCCGACACAGTGGACTTGACCGACTCTGTGGATCTGCTGTGGTGGAAACACTCGGACACATCATAGTCTTCAATGGTCACCATGTCCTGGATGGTGGTCAGGGTGGCCTCTGACGTCTTCTTGATCTGTACACACAAGGAATGGAGGGGAGGAAGAGTTGAAAAATTGTAAAAACCAGCCAGCTTAAAAGCTTTACCTCATCTCTTCACTATCACGGCGTTACTATCACAGCATATCTGGCAGCTTGTATTACCACACTCCCTAAAAACCTCTCTCGCTATCCCACGACACTCTGAAAAATTCAAGTGTTTTCTGACAAGACACAAGTTCCGAAGAATCCGCCAGCCCCAGAGCACCATTCCCAGCCAGGCAATCAATTTGCATGCACTCAGAAGGGCCAGAGGTGAACAGTGTCTACTGGAGATGGTACATTCAGTCGCAGGCTTTTAAGATTCATTTCCATAACCGCCTCTTCCCTGTCAACAACAGTGCTCCTGCTGAAGCTTATGAACGTCTGGACTTTGCCGAGTGAGCCCCGCCGGTTACTGCGAAAGATGTTCTGCCAGTGCACGTGCTGCGAGCCATGACTGCATCCAGTATATGATGACACAATGACGGCTGATGCTACAAACAAATAACAAGGCAAATGAGCCTGTAACAGCTCCATAAAAGTTAAAGACTACAATGCAGATACAAATTGATTGTACAGACTGTAAATATAAAAAAACTTGTCACACATAGACTTGACAGTACACTGGAGTGTAAGGCCTACTGTTTGGTACGACTAAGACTTCAAGAAAAAAGTCCTAACAGACCACAATTATGATGTTACAAGAAGCTCTGGGAAGCTTCATTAAGCATAGTTGTGTTTTGAGCTAAATGCTAACATCAGCATGTTAATAAGCTAACAGCGACACTGAAAATGCTAACATGTTGATGTTCACTGTGTTCACCATTTTCATGTAGCATGTTAGCATAATAACCTTTGGAAATAAGCACTAAAACATATGCTGACACAGATAGGAATGTCATTACTTCTGCAGAAAATACAGGCAATATATTGAACAAATAAAAACTGTGATGTGTTATATTTATATATATGGAAAGTCAGGGACCATCAAAGTTATTGCGATCCATTCTGAGGGAGATCATGAAAGTCTGTGCCACATTTCATGACAGTCTATCCCATAATTGTCCCGAAAACCACGCCCTAGTATGGCTGAACAGTCATCATATGTTACTCTGAAAAAACTGCCCCTACTACTCTATGGTATGTTGGAGATTTATATGCATAGGCCTAATAAAAAACAGAAATAGCCCGGCTGTGAGGATTATACATTTACTTTACTTATTTTAACTGTACGCATGATCTATGACATCAGCCCGGTCAGTCAAGGGTTAACACAGTGACCATTCTGCCTGATGTTTTATCTTTCAAACTCACTGGCTAACCCAGTTTTGTCAATGATTTTACTAAAATAACATCAATACAGGGCCATATAGGCAATAGGCAAGGACAACTGCAGAACAAGGAGAAGTAGGAATAGGAAGAGAGAGGGATAACAGGAGACAAACAGACATGGAGGAAGAGTCTAGTGACTGTCAAGCATGTGAGCGTGAATCACTGATGTGGAAAAGCTGCGGAAGGAAAGAAGCCATGCCGATGTAGAAACACCAACAACCACCTCTAAGGAAAAATTCAGCAAAATGCTCTTCTTCGTTCAACAGAGGGACTCTGAGGGGGGGGAATAGAAGTGCTGCAACCATCGCAGTTCAACTGTGTGTGCTTGATGTGTGAGAACCAAAGGTCAAATAAGCCCTGAGTGAGACACAGCTGGAAGTCCTAATAATTATCCCTTAATGGTCAGAGGGACCCCCACTCACTGGTAGTGACACCATTTTTTAACTTATTAAGTGAGTCAGACTTCAGTGCTAATGAGAGAACAAGGTGGATTCCTCCTGTAACAGTTACACACACCAGGACAGCAGTGTATTAGCTTGTTTTTTAACAATTTGACCTGTGACTCATTTGGCCTCCAAAGGGGAAAAAAAACACCTGAAAAGCAAGGTGGAGTTCATCTCTTTCATGTGTTACACTGACGGATTACAGAGATGACACAAATGCTCGGGCACTCAATGTGGATGTAGTTAGAGTGTCATCCGTCCCATTGTGAAGCAAAAACACACTGCAGGTTTGAACACGACTAATGACAGTGTGGAAAAGGAAACGGGGGATTCTGCGATCATAAAGCTTTGCAAAGACATCACCTTTTCATGTGACAACATCATCAGTTGGTGATCAAAGGAGTGCCTGTCTACAATCAACACTTCCACCATCACTTTACATGTACGCGCTGTAGTTTTATTTGCAGCAGGTGCCTAAAATAGGTAACCTACTACGACATACAGCCATTGGTTACATGCTCTGAGTGTGTTGGTCTCTCTCTTGCTCTCTCTCCCCGTGTCCCTGGCAGCCTCATCCCGGGTGGCCCCCGTGGAGGCGAGAGGCCCAGCTGTCATCATGAAGACAGGACCCATGCATGCGAGAAAATCGCTCCCAGTGAAAAAGCTGTTGAGTTTATCCATTATTCAGCAGACGAATAGTTACCAGTGTTCACTGCTGGGCTCAATTACAACAGAGCTCTTACAGAGACTCAGTGGATATGCCCATTAGCCCCTGCAGCTGCAGCTGCACAACAGACCTGGAGAAAGTCTCTGGGATCAAATTTAGTTTGTTTGTTTTCAATAAAAAACCAGGAGTAGGGCTGTAACTGTTTGTGTATTTGTACCAAACTGTCACGGTACGGGGGTCGCACGCAGAATACACAGTATGTAGACTGATGCACGTAAGTTGGAACTAAAGTTCCCAAGTGCGAGTTACACCTGCTAACTTTTAGTCATACATATGCTGAGGTTCACGCAACAAGCAGAATGCAAGACCCTAGGCAGTGCGCTGGACTTTGAAGCCTATTTGACATGGTGGCCAAACTGAAAATATAACTTCCAGGTCCGTCACGTGATGCCATTGGGCTCAAAAACATCTTTTCCTCATAGACTTACTTTGGAAGAGAGACATCTGTAAATAACTGGATACACTTTTAAAGTGTCACAACCCACAAAAAAATACTCTTTTCACAATCAAGATTTGACCAATTAAGTCTGATGTTGAAAGTCTATAAGAGCTGCAGTTTATTCCACTGTACAGAACCCACACAGAACTGTGACTTAAAAATTGGGGTATGAACCTGACCATGACTTTTGTGTATTGTTACACCCCAAACCATGACTTGTGTATTTTCTAGGTTGCTACACAGACAGTGCACCAGTAAGAGGAGCCAAGTATCAGTCTGTCTTATTTACAGGCATCATGCTCTGGATTGAAAACAACTTCTAAGCTGTCAAAACCCAAAATAATGTAATTTAATGCACTTTAAAATCAAGGTTATTCTGTAGGGCAGCAGTACAATATCACTTACAGTTATTTAACATCCTGTCATAACAGTCCAAAAGACAGACTGCTGTTCATATCTTTCAACAGACTATGTAGTAAGTGTGTAATGTGCTGATCATCATGCTATGAGCACACATACACACCCACACACAGGCTTTGATGTGCCTCCCTGAGATTTATCTGAGGAAAAACAAACCCTCCCTGCAAAGGAGATGGTATTAGATTGCCAGAGTTTAGTGTGAAACATCTTGAGAATACGAAAGAGAGGAAAATCAGCCTGTGTGAGCTCCGGTTCATACGAAGGCAAACAAGATCTAAACGGCCGGATTATTAAATCTGAAAAAAAAGATGAACCACACTGACTGACTGAGGAGCTGAAATGAACGGCGTCCTCAGAGAGCAGGCTTTTTTAATGAACAAAAATTCAATTGTAATTGCTGCAGCGAGGCACCCAGCAGGGCTGTGCGAACCCCAACCCTTTAGCAACAGCAAGATCCAGAGTTTTCTCCCCACGTCGCACCCCACCCACCACTGATGCAGAGTAAATTATTCAGCAATGTTTTCTTTTCGCCGTTTCACGGGAGTCAAAAAGGACTGAGGAAACAGCTGCACTTCTATTAAGCACAGCCCTGCAGCCTTTCCTGGCCGGATAAAGACAGACTCTTTTTCTCTCTTGTACATTTGACAGTCGTGCTTGTAGGTCGTCACAGCGCTTTGAAAGTTCATTTTTCAAGGATGTATCTGGCACGCTGTGCCCGGGAAGAGAGGCCATCTGGTGATCCTAACACAAGGCAGCAGCGCCCTCCAATTCTGACCCACCAGGACATCCGCTTCAGCAAGGCAGGCGGACAAGGACATGAAGCAACCAGGGCTTGTCATCAGACCCTCACACACACACACACACACACACACACACAAAATAACACACAGGGGTGTACATGTGTGTGCCTTGTTTCTGAGATATTGTAAATACTGCAAGCTTTTCCAACTATGAAAGCAACAGCAGGACTCTGACCAGCATAAAACAACACTCTGAATGATACTCAGTAGGGCAGCAACTACTACCTAATTGTTTCTATTGTTGTATAATCTGATCAGTTTTTCTAATAGTCAATCATTAAGGTTCTAAGATGTAAAAACATCTTACATTTGAGAGCCCAAAACCAGCAAATATTAAGCACTTCTGCCAATTTAAGTCGACTGACTTTCAATAAATTAATCCAGTAACTTCAGCTGTAGTAATTGGCACACTTAAATAACCCCCAATATACAGGTATCCTATCCATCATTGTTCATTCTAGCAGACGTATTTTCAGTCAGTTTCACAAAGTGTCGACAATACAATCAAAAGGAATCTGAAGTCACAGTAGATGTAGAGGAAGTTGAATGACACGCTCCTGTGCCTCTTTGTAGCAAGATAAAAGAAAGAAAGTGCACCTATGAGGAGGGAAGAGGAGAAACAGAGAGGATAAAAACAGATGGCTTTGAGAGCTCATAGAGGGGAGGAAGGTCAGACGTGATACTAGGGCCAGCGTAATGGACGTGACTGCACTTCGTGAAACTGTGGCAGTCGTGGTATTTCTCCCCTATTGGCTTTTGTTTTATTTAAGTAACAATGCATTACTCAAGCATGCTGCAAACAATGCAGCCTGAGAAGCAGAGATGCACCTCCAATGTCAAAACAGAGCAGCGCAGGACAGGTTCGTGCAAATAAAAGTGAGACAGTGAATTCTACCGGTGGGAGCGAAAATGGAGGCTTCACAGAGAGGGTTTGATGGCTACCTGCAGGGCATGAGAGAGAGGAAAATACAGAGTGTGTGTCTGTGTGTGGTGTGTATATGCAACAAAAAAAACTTTGATTCTTCAGCGATCATCAGCAACTATTTTTCCTGTCTCACCTTGGATGACTTCTGGCTAAAGTTAACTTTCTTTAGTAGCTTTAATGCTCTGCAGCTGTCAGCATCTTGCAACCGACAAAACAGCAGCATGACGAAACTTCTGCATCTCTGGCAGACAACAATGTCGGAGCAGCAGAGAAAAGTTTTGACATGTTTGACGTGTCTAAAAACCCACACACCGCAAATACCTGTGTAATGAGTTGAATTTATTTGCGTTTTACCTCCTCGTTCTCGATCTTCAGAGTAGCAAGGCGAGACTGAAGCTGCTGGAACCTCAGGATGAGCTCTCCGTTCACCGGTGGCTGCACTGAGATGTGACACACCTGGGGAAAAAAAAGAGGATCAGGAACCTGAAATTATAACCCACTACAGGAACTACGATAGGCAACGTAACCTCTCCTTTACAAGATGCATGCATCCAAATTCTTCTTCGATTGCAGAGCAAACCGCAGTGACGTTTGCCAACTGAATGCAGACAGCCGCACAACAGCTAGTAAACAGACATGATATCAGCGCTGGTGCTGCCAGCCAAGGAGTCAAACTCTTAACACATGTTGAGCTACATGACTGCAGGGGGAGAATTAACACATGATTTGTCAAATTCAGTGCCCCATAAAACCTGAACCGGCAGCCCGGACGCAGTAAAACGCTGCACTTAAGCCACTGAAATCAGACCTCATTAAGTCTGAGACTTTTTTAATCAACTCCAAATTCACTTCTGTGTTGTTTAGTCTATATTCAGCGCAGCACATACAGTGGATGATTTAGAAACACAGCATTTTTAAACTCTTTATATAAATATAGTTTGCAGTTCTCCAGCTCAGTTCATCATCACAGATTAAATTATGTACCTCGTCTCCCATGTGAGGCTGGAACTCAAATTTTGTCGGTGGGCAGAAGGCAGTAGGGTACATCTCCATGAACCTCTGTCGGTCACTTCGTGGGTCCAGACTGTCCACGGCGTTCTCAATGATGTCAAGACCTTCGTGGCGTGACGTCTCAAGGTTGTATTCGGCTGACAGGTAGGTTCGCAGGGCCCGGTTTAGACTGGCATGGTACCCCAAATCACAGCACTGGAAGAGATGAGAGAAGAGGGTCAGCGTGATCGTATGGTATCATAATACACAAACAAACACAAGACTAGAGCTGCAATCCAACAATGACTTTCCCTTTTGTCACTGATGACCTGCAGATTGTTTTCTCTGTGAATTGCTCAGTCTATGAACTGTAGGAGAAAAATACCTGTTAAAATGTACAATTCTCTGAAGCCCAAGTTGATGTCATCAAACCGCTTGTTATGTCCAAAACCCAAAAATGACTGATATACTGTCACATAGGACCAATAAAATCATTAAAACGTCACATGTGAGAAGCTGGAACTAGAGCATTTTTGGTATTTTTGCTTAAAAAAAATGACTATGATGATTATCAAAATAGTAGTCAATTCATTTTCAATGTACAAAAACAAAACATATCCCTTAGTATTAATTCAGTTACTTATATATCATATGCAGATATACCTGTAATTGATAGGTGTATATTAAAACAAAACTGACTATTGAGACTTTTAAAAATGGCAATTTTCCTCGTAAACTAGTCGAGCACTTTCTGAGTTAGCAGTGTTGCCTCTGTGTTTCACGATGTTACCTCAATATTAACAAATGTTACCTCCAGGAGCTAATGCGGATTTTTCATAACTAGAACCTTGGCCAAGGTCTCTCCTGGGAAGACATACTCGCCCCAGGCACCCACAAACACACAGTTAGTTACACACACACACACACACACACACACACGAAACACTGCCTGAGTGATAGGCATACACAATACCACTACCAGCCAGCGTGTACACTTTGCTTTTGACTATAAAAAGTCCCCTTCATCAATAAACAAATGTGTGTGAGCCTGCAAATACAACTCACATCAAGTGCATCCCACACACACACGCACACACACACACACACACCCTGGTGTGATGTGAAGGCTTGTGAGCAAAGCGAGGAGAGGGGTAATTTCAACGCACAGCATGCCTCTGAATAGAGGTTGCATTTCTCTTCTCCTTCAGTCCTGTCTGGAATATAAAACCCAAAAACGCTTGCTTAAAACCTGGCCCTCTGCCATTTCCTTAGAAAGGCCACAGAAAATGGTACAGTAAGTTTATTTCTCTTACTAAATAATAATAACCCAGGTGAGCCGTATTATAAATAAGTCATGTTTATTGGTACAAAAAGGTCAAACAAAGCAAACTGCTTGCAAGACAGAGCATAAAGACGTGAGTGCTGTACTGAATGACCCACAAATGAACATGACAACAACAAACAGTAGGTTTGAGGGTCAGGGTCCATTCAGACAGTCTGAAAGATGTGGAAGCGTTTCAAAACAGTGACAAGATGTCAGGAAAACGCAGTGGAACTGAATATAATATGTGGGTTTTCAATAATGACACAAAGAGAAGAAAAGAGGAAAGAATAGTCTTCATCACAAAAGTTAATAAGCTGCTTTAATTCAGTCCTGCACTGTAATTTCCATCCCACAGTCTGGTGCCCTAAGATCTCTTTTATATCAGGCACAGCTGCAAAAGTCATCAGTCATTCCTCTGATCATGATTTTAAATATCTTCTAAAAGTCTGTGACAAGAAAAAAACCTGAATAGCAATGGGTTTTCTGCCTGCAGAGCACAAAGAAACAAATCAACCTTAGGTGGGGGGAAATCAGCCGATAGAAAGATGAATGCAAAGTGTGTTCTGTTTATGTAAGGATGTCTTCAGCAAAAACTTTCCCCTGTCTCCTGGAGACAAACAAGTTTGTGCTGAGGATGAAGTTGTCTCAAAACAGGGCTGACACAAGCATGTGGTTTTATACTTACATCAATTAAGTCTGACAAGTCGTGGATGTAGTATTTGAAAACGGAGGAGTTTGACGCTTCCAGTGTCAGTAGGTACTCGTTCCGCGCTTTGATCGACTTCAGCTTGTTCTCGGAGTACTTGGCTTGACGCTGATGAGAGAATTAGAAGCACAGAATGAGAAACAGACAGCAACAGAGCGAACGAGGGAGGATGAATTTAATGAGTCAAGAATTGCCTTTTTGACAAGTGATTGTGCTTTTATGTCTCGGCACACTCGGCGCATCTCAGCGCTGAGACTGGATTACTGGCAAAACAACAGCTTCAATAAACATTAGAGGAGACATAAGTTAAATTATGTTAAAAATAGCAACCAAAGAAAGGGGAACAAGAACAAAAAAAAGAAAAGCCTAAACTAAAAACAGCCTGTGTCCTTCACTTCAACTGGAATACCTCAGTCTGAGCCATCTGTCTTTACCCTACACTTCCTCTCTACCAGACAAACACAAGGCTGATAGTTAGTCACCACTTCACTGACCAATAGGGCTCTGACTCACTCGCTTCCAAGTCATCCATATTTTAACACTTCCCAAATGCATTCCAGGAAGAGTCGTGTTAAAAAAGCCATTGAATCATTTGTCACAGAGATTTAACAGAAAGCAGACCTGTTCTGAGAACACAAAGCCTGCTCTTTGGCTGTGACAATGCTTTCAGTGTGTTTTCCTTTACTTAGGTCAGCGGGACTTGTAAGGAGCAGCCATGCTGTGGCCTAATGAGTTTTCTAATCAGACATTTTGTTTGCTCAAACTACTGAAAGAAAACACCTAATGGGAAAGTGAATGGTGTGACTACTAACTAAGTTTAAATTGGAATAAAGTTGTTAGCATTTGTGAACCCCCTGGAGTTCTACCTTCTCTTTCATCTTCTCGATTTTCTTCACAGAGCTGCGCCTCTGGTATTTGTCCTCCATTCGGATGCTGAAGACCGGATCTCCCCTGCCGATCTGCTTCTCCTCTTGCTTCTCAGCCTCCTTCAGCTTGCTCTCGGCACTGATACTCTCCGAGTGGTACATGTGGTAGGTCTTCATCACCTGGAGACAAATAAAAGTGTCATTAAGCTGCGGAGAAAATAATTTTAAGGACTGTTTGTCATTACTTCCTTTTTAAAACTGGCAAAATCCTGAAACCGTGCTGCTTTGGTGTGAGTTCCAGGTCAGTTTCTGCCAGGTCAAAGGTCAGAATAATCCATCTTCATATAGTCGAGACCGACCTTTTATAACCCACAACTAAGGCTTCCATACTTTGACCCGCTCATTCATCACAAATTGATTCAATTCAACTCACAGCAGGCAGTTCCTCTCTCCCTAAACCACAAACCAATGACAGATTCTCTCCAGCCTTTTTTATATGAGGGACTCATACGACCACAACTGCCACAAATCACTGTAGCTAAATCTAACATGCTGCCTTCATTGATCTGTGTTTCAAAAATACACACAGGAAAAAGGTTTGGGTTTGCCCTCTGGTTTTCACATGAGGGTATTAAGATGGAGGTTGAACTCTTTTTGAGGGACAATTCAGCTCTTGTCAAACAAGTAAATGCAATTTCTTTTAAATTGTGTTTTAAAACATCAAAAAGATATTCATGTGTTGCACCTTGCTGGCCCTAACTATTGTTGTTCATATCTGTTTAACGTAGCACATGCTTCTTAGATAGCTAAAAAGAAATATATCTTTTTGTGTGGGCTATAATGGCAAATAAGCAGAACCCTTTCACCCCTATTGTCATCACACTGTAGCTATTAAGCACAAGGGAAATGCATTATCTTGATGAACGGCGGATTAGCATTATATCCTGAAGTTTGAGTCATCCACTTCAGAGATAGTTGGAGTGTGAGTGTTACTCATACGCTCCATGGATCCATTAGGCAATGACTCAACAGTTAAGTAGAAAGGTAAACCACCAAACACAAACAGTGAGTTCTTCAAGACAGAAGAGAGATTTTTAAAGTCTCATTAGCACTGGCACATGTCGTCAGGAGAACTGACACACGTGTGCGGGGCTCTGAGGACAGTGCGGATGAATCACTGGCTGTGGGAGAAAAATCGAGTCCACGGTGCTGACATGGAGTCATCCGCAAAGGAACTCACTGACCCTCACACATGCATAAGAATGAGAAATTAGCATGTACAGTATCATTACTGATTGTTATATAAAATAAGTATGCAGACTGCAGTAGAAAGCATTAGAGTCTATGGAGCACGAGCCGAGCCGATGCCATGTTATAATTGGCCAGTCTGCATCCAGGGGCGGGACTTAGCGAAGGATTAATTCTGGTATTGGGTATGCAGGTATAAAAACAAAATGCAGGTGCACTATCAAGAGAAAACTGCATCCACCAAATGTTAAACCATGTGAAGCTGCCATCTTGCAAAGTGCCAACTGTAAAATACAAGGTAATCTTGTCCTTACAGAAGTCACGCACCCATGGGTGTAGGAGGAGAGGAAAGTAAAGGAGTAGGAAACAAAAGAAAAGCAAAGAAAAGGACAGGAGGGGAAAGGCGTTTGTACTCTATTCTACAGAACTATCTTTAAATGATTTAATGATTAAAAAAATCATTAAAACAAGACAGACCGTGAAAGCTTTTTGTATGCTTTTATGTAATCTTTGCTTTGGAAGAAAATATATTAAAAGACAGCAAATAAAACACGCTGTGTGAATCTCTCAACATACACTACATTCAGTCAAATTTTTCTAACACTTTCCTGTAAAGCTACATGGGTTCATGGCAGCTGGCCAACATGTAGTGAACTGAAAACAAAGGCAGACAATACACTCAAACTCCCAGGAGAAGGCAGCAATATGGAGCACCGGTGGTTTAACCTGGAATGAACTAACTCCAGCAAATTACAGCTCCACAACCTGTGTATGTGATACACTTGTCTGCACAAAACCTCAACTGCAGAACAAATAGAGACTCACCCATCTCAAAATCTAAACATCGTTCCCCCAAACTGAGCTATTTCTGTACGAGTGGAACAACGAAGCAAAGCCTGACTTGTCTGGAGCCCTTCGCCTTTGGTGGGGTTTGGCCTAACTGGAACCAGTTTAGAGATGGGTGACTGACCTTGGGCCCTGTACTCCTCACTTACTGGTCTGGAGTCTGCCACTGCCTGTGTTTACTTTGGTGTTTCTTTTAGAGGGACATATTTAGAGACGGAGCAGACCTGTTATTTCATTGGCGGAGGCCGACATCAGGACTGTGGCTGTCTGATGCAACAGCTACGCAGTGCATGTGTGTGTGTGTGTGTGTGTGTGTGTGGGTGTGTGTGTGTGTGTGGGTGTGGGTCTTCCCACAGGGGCTAAACCGGGTGAAATATGGAGTGTGGACTGTGGTGAGAGTGACACACATTGAGTTTGGAGTAACACGTCTGCTGTGTTTGGAGCAGCGCAGCCATCAACTGGAAATGTAACCACTGTAATCCTCTATAGTGAGAAACTGGAGACTGTATAAGCAGGTTGAGCTGCTTTGCACTCCGTCGCTTGGGAGGCAACAACAACTGCCTCCACTCTCATCTCCATCTATGTACATCCCAGGTTAACATGCTGATTAATGAAGCTCAACACAATCCCAGTGATCATTGGGAAGGAATTAATTGATTGATAGATGTTGTGTTCATCAGTGTTGATGCCTATGAGTGACCTCATAAACAGTATAAACTCATAGCAATCACACATAAACAACGTGGTCTCAATTCCATCCAGTCATCCTGTCTAAGAACACACGAGCATCTGATTGTCACCAACATGTGTGAGGCATTAAACTGAGCCAGTAGGCTAGCAGGGCTGACTGGGACAATTAAGGCAAAGGAATTAGCTATTGATTCATGATTTAGGTACGTTTGTCCACCAAGGTCAGAGAATCACACAACTACTTACAAGTCATTGAACAAAGGCAATGAAATGGCCTTTAAGAAACTTGAAGCTTGTTTGATACAGAAGTTTGATGGTCTGGTGAAACGTTACTGAGAGACACCTGCGAAAATTCACCCTCTGGGTTCAAAGGTCTGCAGACACTGCTATGTTAACCAGGCGCATACCATGTAATAGCAACATCCCTAGTCCCTTCCACACATGCACTGCAAACCTCAAGCCATCCAGAGGAGCTGTATGTCAGAATTTAATTGTCCACTTCAGTTGGATCGGACTTTACGGGCTTTATCCTGCCAGCACTCTGCTGCAATGTCCTTGTAATGTCCAAAGAGCCCATGTGTGAATAGAGGAGGTAACTGTTCGGAGAGTTTACAGCGAGGGAGTGGACATGTCTGTAACTGTAATACATCTCCTCTATTATGTGGCTTTAACAAAACTGGAAGAGAACAAACATCAGATGTGAAAAAGAAAGGTCATTTATGCAAAGACAGCAATGAAACTGTCTAACTAGAGAGATGACTAGATTAAGGAGCTTCTGCTGGTAAGGGCTGAAGCTGAAATCTTCAGACACATTCAATGAATGGCAAGAGACTGTTGATTAAGACCAAATTACAAACTGGCTATGTGAACACATTGTAATATGCGTCACAACCTGCCTCCTGCACACTCTAGCCAGGCGCCACCCTTCGCCAAATCAAACCGAACAATTCCCATAGGTGAGAACACCTCTGACACAGACAATCTCCTGTTGTGTGCTACATGGGTGAAAGAGAAACTCAAGCCGGTGTCTGGAATTCGTATGAGAAAACAGTTCGTACTGGGGACCTTTGCTGCATGTAATCTCTCTCACTCTCTCCCAAGACTTCCTATCTGTCTATCAACTTTTGAACGAAGGCAACAATGCCAAAAATAAATAATCTTTCTTTTTTTAAAGACAGAAAATGTATCCACGAGTTGCTATTTGGCGCCAACCCCCTGGTGTGGCTTTGCATGAATTTGTTTTGAAGAGCAAGAAAACTAAGCCGAGAAGATCCATTAAAAACAGAGAATATGAACTCTAATGAGCCGAGCAAACATAATGTTGATACTTCACAGTTTGAATAGCAAGTTCATCAGGGTAAGAGAGATTGTGTTTCACAATTTTGTGCTGTAAAAGAAATCAGACTTTCCCTTCAGTTTGAGCAGTCACTTTGAGGGATGAAATATTAAACATTCAAGCAAACAGACTTCAACCAGGCATCATAAAGCTACAAGAGGTTAAAGTTTTCAATGGTTACAGATATTTAGAAGTTAGTTAGCTCACTGCTATAAACCAGTCTCAACCAGAGCAAAGACAATGTACTTGGGTCATTAGTACTTACCGTGTATAGCTCATTTAGGACCTTCATTAAATCTTCCTGAAGCTGAAAGGCTATTTCCTTGCTCTGAAAAAGAAGCACAGACGTACAAACAATTAGACCACTACAACAAATCAGTGATTTAAAACAATTAAATCCACAAAAATAGTCTTCCCAAACAAAAAGTACAGTTAATACCCCATTAAAACCAACACAGCTGCACCACGTTGTCAGTAGTCCAACTCCATTATAAACACAACAGCAACCACTTTTACTGAACCTAAACTTGACAAATCTGGCCACAAGATATTAGGTTTTATAGAAATAGTGGAAAATGACCAGACATTGACTCATGGTTTGAACAGTACAGATACAAAACAGAACAGTGGATTCATCATCATGTGTTTAATACAGGGCTTCTGTGCGAAAGTGGTATCGGTGTCACTACGACTTTTCCACTCAAATCTTCGAACACAGCTCGAGTTTCACCGTCCACATGCTCAACACATTATCTGGCTCCTACGTCTCAACGTGAAAGATTTTTCCCAAATATGTTAACTCAATCAACCGTGCCACAAGGCTGACTCAGTAATACTATCACACACACACGCCCACGTTAATGCACCTCGAGGTTGTCAGATACAGTTTAACAGTGATGCCGTGATGGATTCAGAGGGGCTTTTGCTATTAATTTAACTGTGCAGCTCCCATATTTCCCTCACACTGACTCACATACTGTATCATATGTTCATGAGATTATGAGTCATGACAATGAATTTTTGATCTCTCTACAGTTGATACCATGCTCTGCTATGTGGATGATGTTACAGCCTCGTCCCGCACTTCAGGTCTTTCTCTAACCCAATTATCCTCAGACAAATCTCATTCTGGGAGCCGCTCCCGGCAAAAGGCTGTAAGAGAGTTCTGTGAGGGTACTGAACCACCAAGTGCAGGGGGATAGAGTGGTGATGCACTTCTGATTACGAATGGAGCACCACACTCATTTAAAGGGCAAGGATGGTCAAAATAAACTAATGCTACATCTACAACTGCAATCAGTCATTATTAATGTCACCCTATGGAGTTTCTGACCAAGAGCAGTGCTATGGAGTGATGTTTTTATAAGGAGGTCCTGTTTTTTGTTGCTGTGCGTGTATGCAAATAGATGGGCAACACAATACACAAGAGACCTAGCAATGTGCCAACAAAGGCAAGACAGAAGAAGACAACAAGCTACGTGGACGTAAACAACGCAGGTTTTAAAGTGTGAAAATTTAGATTTCGCAAAAGTTTAATGAGGAGAGAAATGAACTCAATGCACTTGCTAGATCTCAGGGAAACACACAACGGTAAGAAATACTGAATGTTAACTTTTGTTTGTTCACAAGAAAACCCCACCAGGTACTTTTAAGAGATGTTGTTGTACACAGAGAGTGCGCTATGGTCGATGGTTTGGGAAAATGTGGAGGAAAACTTTTTAAAGTACATTGTAGGGCTTCCTTCACAGGCTGAGAGGGTTTAATTTGACTCTAGGATACTCTGCAACTTCTGCAGGTACACCATCGACAGTATCCTGACTGGCTGCATCACTGTCTTGACAGAGGGTGTTGAGAACTGCCAAGTACATCACCAGGATGAAGTTGCCACCCATGGAACCCTTTTACACCCAGCGGTGTAGGAAGACGCCCACAGGATTATCAGAGACCCCAATCACCCCAGGCCCAAACTGTGTCAAACAGACAGTACCATAGCATCCAGTCTCGAAACAAAAGGGTCAGGGACAGCTTTATCCTGCAGGCCTTGGTGCTTTACCATTATAATGTCCTTTCAACTTTCATATACGTTGCCTTACTGTCTACACCTCTGTATACATACATATACTTATCATAATGCACATATACTTACTACATTGCTGCTTACATTCAGTTAGATTTTATTTGTTATATTTTATCCCTTATTTAACTTGTGCTATTTTATGTTCAGTTTCTCATTTTGTTTTTACTTGTGTGATCTTTTTTAATACATATTTAATAAGCACTGATGGAGGGAGCCCGAGACTTAAAATGGTCTTTGCCAGCAACTGATTCTCTGCAATTGTTGTGCATATAATAAATAAAGAACTAGCTTGTTGATTGCTGAACAGCATTAGCTTTATAAAATATGCGCTAAACAAGATTTATGAGAATTTTCTGAGCCATGGTTTTGTAATGGGTGCAATTTAAGACAACCAGAATGTGCGACCAGTCCGTCTGCTGGTATCAGCTGCAGGGTCCAATGCATACACAGAGGTAAGCTGAAGCATTTCTATGTCACATTGTATGCATTTGATGTACATGGCAATAATATTTTAAACACTGAACAATGTTTGGGATTTCCTGTCTTGAGATTAGATGAGTCAGTTGCCTTGCACACGTGTGGCCTCATGTGGGTGTTGGCAACAGGTAAGAGGCTTTATTAAGGGCACACACCTCAATAATCCAAGTGATGATGCACAAATTGATGCACAGTTATGCCAACTCTCAGCTGTAAAATGACTCTGCTGAACTGTCAACATGCAAGAGACCAAGACAGAATCAATCTTGTGAAAAGTTCTGCGCACAAACACATAAACTGTCACCGATGTTTTCACTAGTCGCTCACAGGTAAAGCTGCACAATGTCTAAGCATGTGAAAAGACAGCAAAGAGGATTACACTCTCAGTTAACGGCTGCCAGGCAGGTGTCTGAAATTAGAGAGTGTCGTGCTGGGTGACCTGACCGATTGGCAACATCTTCCTAACCGCCACCTGGTCTGTCAGTTCCCTGATTTGTAGCTCTTACCTAATCAGAGTGCAAACAGCCTGTAAGCCTGGATAACCTGGGCTTTTAAAGCACCAAACTTGGCAAGAGTCAAACTCATGGATGTTTGAGAATGAGTGTAGATGAGAAAGCTACGGAACACTCTTGAGTTTTTTAGTCAATTATAGGATGATCTTGTCCTTGAGTAGATCTGTAATTGTATCTCGCAAAACATGACAGTACCACATTTTCAGTGAACTGCCTATAAATCGTGGATCCTTGCATATCATAAAGCTCACAAAGACACAGGCCTTCTCCTGTGGGAAAACCCATTAGCAACCGTCAGTTCAGAGGACAGAACCTTTGACTATCTGTCAGATCTAACACTCGTCAGCTCTTCTCCATTGAGAAAGCTGGGAAGTGATCCAGGGCTCAATGAAAAGCCTTCTCAGGGATCACATGAGCTGCAAGAATGTGTGTGTGTGTGTGTGTGAGAGAGAAGTAAAGACAAGAGATGAAAGTAAAGCAGCATTACATTCAAGACATGTTTAGAGTGCATTCTCCAGAAAAGCTACATCTAATGCTTTTAAGAAGTCTGTGAAATAATATCTCCTTTCAAAGTGTCACTAAATCTAACATACACACGCTGTATACCTCAAATTACAAGCAATAAGGGATGTTCACTAAATACTGTGTTGTGTAACTGCAGTCTTTGATTTAATTTGCACAATCTACCCTCTTTCATTTTAAAGGAATCTCAGTTGAGGAGGTTCAAGTTCGGTCTAATTCATTAAAAAGATCCTAAAATGGGTTTCCCCTTTTAGGATCATACCATCTGTATTCCAACCACATTAGAAAGATGAAACAACCTCAGAGAGGAGAAACCAAGTCAGCCTCTGGGGAGCGGTGGGTTTCATATTGCCACTGACATTAATCATGGTACAGAGAGGGCAGTTGTACACCCTGCAGGGCCTGTGTGTGTGTGTGTGTGTGTGTGTGTGTGTGTGTGTGTGTGGTGCTCCGCACAGATCTAAATGTCTTGTCACAATAACACAGTTAATATTCACAGCATAAACTTTGACAAGGTCTTGGCTGATGTATTAAAAAAAGGAAGTTTTGACCAAATGACATAAACTCTTTCATTAACGTCAAAATAACAGTTTAACTTTTTGGGAAGTACAATTATTTATTTACACAGTATCATGTTGAGTCAGTGAGTACAGAGCTGGAGTCCTTAGATTAGCAAGTAGACTGGAAAAAAGAGGAAACAGCTAGCCTAACTTTGTCTGGTTATGAACAACTCTTAAGCTGTCTTATTTACACAATGTATGTTGTTTGTTTAACCCACACATGTAATGACAAAAAATGCCAATTTGTGGTTTTAGGGTTTTGTGTTTACAGTTCAACCATCTGTCAGCAGTTCTATGCAGCGTCTCTGGCTGGTCATTAAGCCCAGGTTTGGGCTTCAACAAAAAGACACACTGGCACCAAACCTGGCAACCTCACTGTGAGAGATAGACTTTCAGTGGCTCTGCACATCACTGCACCCAGCTGCTGATTAGCAAGAAAGAACTCCATCACAAAACTCCCTGCAAAACCACAGGCTGGCATTTTTAAACAAACAAGTAAATGAGTGAGTGTTGGAGGTGCTTACAGGCATTATTTCACTCTTGACAAGGCTTAAATAGCCGTTTCCCCAACTTCCAGTCTTTATTCAAAGCTAGGCTTAACACATCCTGACTTCAGCTCAAGCAACATCCTCCGAGGCTGAAAAATGAAGCCAAGCGGAAGTGCCAAAAACTGCAGTTCATGGAATGTCCACTTGAGGCTGGCTCCAAAACAAAGCAAATCCCTGTAGACTCCAATGTTAAAATGTCCAACTTTGCAGCAGATGTAAACATGTTTACAGCCTGGTACAAAAAACAGTTTTGGTCTCCATAGATAATTTTCTCTTTAAGACAACTGTATGGGGGTAAATTTTATCAGAACTCACCTGTTTACAATTTTTTTCAAGGCCCACGTTTATGTGTATTTTAGGGCAGGGCCGCTTGAGTCTCAGGCTGTCTGCGAGGCCTCGCTGCAGTCTATTACGGTCATTTCTGGCTCCAAAAAACCAAGATGGTGACGTCAAAACTGCCAGACTCAAGGCTTCAGAACGGCAGTCCACAAACCAATGGGTGACATCATGGTAGCTACATCCATTATTTATACAGTCTACACTTAAGCTCTGTACTTAAAGCGCAGCCATTAGACTTGTATTGATCACTGCATGTCACTCTCCAAAATTAGATGAATAATGTTTCACACTGTTTATTGACTTCTATCAGAGACATATGTATCATCATACTGTATGAACACCTAGTGCAGGCTTCTTCCAAGTGGCAACCTCCAGCACTGAAAAATGAAGCCAGTGTGGAAGTGCCAAAAACTGCAGTTCCTCTAATGGCCACTTGAGGCTGACTGAGTCAACTCCCATAGACCCCCATGTTAAAAATGCCCAACAGCAGAAATAAAAATTATTACAGCCTGGTATAAAAAAGGTTTGGGGCTTTGTAGCTAATGGCAACATTCATGACAAGTATATTGGGGTAAAAGTTTGTACAACTTAACTCTTTACATTTTATCAAGGCTTAAAGTTGCTTTAAGTGATAAAAGCTTATTATAAAATAAACACTACCCAGCACACGCTTTGCCTGAGAAAGAGTTCAAAACTGCCTCAAGCTTTGGGATCTCCACCTTGTAGCTGCAGCCACAGAACGTGACTTCCATAAATAAAACAGTGCGAGTAAAACAAAGAGCCAGTTGTATGAATAATGAAAACTGAATACATGTGATAAGATCTGTCCAAGCATGAAGAAGGAAAGAGAGGTCCACTATTTGACTCCTGTTTTCAAACAAAAAAAGCCAAAATGGGCTGTTTCTAAAAGAAATCATGGCTGTAGTTGTTTTAGAAAGTAACCACAACTCAGCACTGTAGAAATAAATGCACATGGCAAATGGGTCAACCGGAGGATGTTGACTGCCGGAGACACGAGGGCTACTCTGGAGTCCTCCTCCTCTGTTCCACCTCACAGCATGAAACTTGAACATACTACAAGGAAATAAAAACACAGGTTCTTTGATGTGCTGGAAGAATGACAATGGTACAGTTGTCTTCTCGAAGCTGTGAGGGAGCCCACGTAACATGGGGGACTTCTCTGTTGTTTGTGCCTCGTTACTGAAGCTCTCCTGAGATCAAAGGCTCAAGGAAGCTTTAATTAGAGGGCGAGCGGTGTCTCGGGTCTCCTATGAACCTGGACCTCCCACCAGTCTGCTGTTTGTCTGTACAATGTCACCTGGATGCGCTGAAAAAACTGCACTGCAAACTTTAAAGGGATGACTATCACACAATGTGGTTAGGCACAGCAGATTCCACAGCCATAATGATGCAGGTGGAGCAGTGATAGGACTAGTGTATGTGTGTGTGTGTGTGGAAGGGGGGCAGGCACACTACCCTACAAATTGCGGGGATCTGGAGAAGCGTCTTTAGAGTTATACTAAAAATGTAAATCAGCACTGGAGGCAGTCTATCATTATAATCATCAAAGTGTGTTGAGTCAGGGGAGGCAACGAGTGTCACATCTGAAAAATGACTGTCTGTTTCACATCTGGCCTCATTAGTAGAACCATAAACCTTTAAACACTATCAAAAGGAAATGACTGCTGCAGCTTCCTGTTTGTGTGTTGGGGGCTCGGGTGAGTACTAAAAGACCACGCCCCCCGCACGATCAGATGAAACCACAACTATCAAGAGACAAGAGAACGAATAAATGAGTCTTACTTTTACTTTTTGAATCTAGGGGTTAGATGGTCAGGAGCAACGAGCGACAGAAAGAAAGAGAGGAGAAACAGAGTCGCACAGGCTTAACTGACACAAAGGCGCTCCTCTGAAGAAAAGCCACTTTGTAATTTAGGCCTGTGGTGAGTTCATGTGACTCCTGCAGCATAGGAGCTCATAATCTTTTAGGGAGTTGTCGTCTTTGTGGTGGAAATGCAGCAGAGGCCCGGTTTCAGCCATGAAGCCACAGTCCTCAGACGAGAGAGTGAAGGCATACTGATCTGAAACTGCGGTGACCGAGGTTCCTCTGCATTACTCTAATTCACAAAACTAAACCACAGGAGCCAAACAGAGTTTCATCCCATCAAACGCAAAGCTGAATATATGCTGAACGTATCCTGCACATCATGCGACTAAATATACTTTGTTGTCAAATGAATGGGTTAATTGAAAGTGAAAGACTGTTTATGTCGCATGAGTGACTGGAGACACCACTGCCCGATCTGACCGCCGTGAAAAATCTGGATTACGTTAGTGGTGAGTTCAAACTTCTGTTTTGTTGATCAAAGAAAAGTCACATCTGACCTCTTCCAGCAGAGGTCAAACACCAGTACAGTAGAAAGTTAAAAAAGGAAAGAGTGAGGGAGGTTGTGGCATTTAAAAAAATCATAAGGAGATGAAATAGTTAGACAGAGGTACCTAACCCTCCGAAACCTGGATCGACATCACTTTTGTGCTGCTTTAAGACATCTTTCACAAGTATTTAAACCTTTGAACCCTGAGCAAATGGGTTTAATTTTCTTCCAACAAGTAAAAAAAGGTAATAAGCAACTTGGCATGTCCCACACACTGACATGAAAATAGAAGATTTAGAAAATAATAATCATATATATCATACAATAATACTTAAACCATAAACTAGGGAAAAATATCCAGGAAGCTGTAATTTTTGAGGTCGTTTTCTTGTACTTTTTAACATTTTTTTATTTTTTGCTAATTTTCAGTTCACTTTTTACTTTATTTTTGTTGTTTTTAAGGTATTTTTCTTGTACTTTTTTTTTCCAATTTGCAGGTAATTTGCTTGTACTCTGGCTAATTTTCAGGTCATTTTCTTGCTCTTTTTACTTTTTTTTTTTTTTTTTTTTTTTTTGTTTTTTTTTTTTTTTTTTTTTTTTTTTGCTATTTTTAAGATATTTTTCTTGTACTTTTAACTACTTTTTTTTGCCAATTATCAGGTAATTTTCTTGTACTTTTTACCCATTTCTTCTCAAGTTGCTCACTGACTTTTCACAGAATTCAAGACAATTTTCTCAGATTTCAAAGGGTTAAAGAAAGCAGGCAGCATCCACAGTCTGTTTGGAACTCAAGGTTGTTTTCACCAATAAAAGTGAATTTGTGTTGTGTTTGTTTATACTACATATTAGAATAGAATGAAATGAGCAGTGTGTTCCAGTGGGTGAACAAGGCCTGTAAACGCAGCAATGTTAAAGTAAGCACACAAAAAGTGTTTCCTTTCTTGTACCCTGTATGCTATGTCCCACATTTCTCACAACTGTCTGTGCAATTTTGCTGTCATCAGCTTTCTTTTTAAACACTGTCTGATTTCTTTTCAGTCTGCACACTTTTTTTGGATTCCCTTTCAGCCCTAACACCTAAAACCCATGTTTTTTTTTAACTTCTCCAACCACAAAGCACCTCTATTTTTGACCATATTTGAAATAAACTTGAAGAACTGGAAGATTACATCATACCTACTGTGACATTACAAGTGGTTCATTGTGGTTCTGGTGGCCGTAGAGTTGTAGAAGAGAGAGTTGTATTTTATGACCGAAATGTGAATAAATGTGTTGTCCACCCTCACCTTCTTGAGTAGCCGTGTGGAGTCCTCACTGATCTGCATGAACCTCATGATGACGTTGTTGAGGTAGATGTCGCTCAGTGTGGCGTGGTCCTTACTCTCCCTCCTCACCTGGTTCAGCAGCAGGTACCAACAGTTGACTGGAGACAGCAGGTTCTGGTCTTTCCTAAATAAACCAGGGAAACAGATAGATTTAAGATCAGCTGTGGGAAATAAATATCTTGGTATCCTTTATGACATGTTACTCAGAAGAATTAGAAAGATGAAGAGTCAGATCAGTGTGTAGGAAAAAAACGGTTATGTCGGATGTTTTGATGACCAATAAACTCACTCCATAGTTAGGCACTATAGCTGAGACAAGCAAGCAGGCACATACGTGTACCAGTTAGGGCTGGGCGGTATGACCTAAAATTCATATCACGGTATAAATCGAATCCCTTCACGGTAATGGTATATATCGCGGTATAAATTTAAGTGTAAAAGTTGTGATAGAAGTGTTTCTGAATGGGTTTTGTAGTCCCTTAGCAAAGCTAAATTGATAAAAAAAAAAAACAACAACAAAAGCAAAGATATAATGTATTTTTTAGAGCATTTATTGTGCAGAATGCAGATCTCAAAACTCAAAATTAAAACCCAGTACTCTATGGTGCAAAATGTCCCCTGGGATCATTATCAAAATGTAATTTCCTTCTTTTAGCAAAATCCTAAATGACTGAGTTGTGTTTTTTCCACCTGGACCTTTATGCTCTGCCATTTCTCCTCTAATCATCACGCTGTAACCTGTGACAGGCTGCTATGATACCACAACTATCACACATTCACATATGGAGTTTTTTGTGGAGCCCCTAGCGTCACATAGGTTTACATTACCAAAGGTTTATGACAAACTCTCTTGCCAAAAACCAACTCCCGTGTGCGCACGGCGAGAGAGGAGAGGGAGAGACGCTGTGCTGCTGCCAGAGGAGACACTGAATGAGTTCCCTCTGAGAGGTAAGTCGCTAAAAGAGTCTGAGAAGTCCGGGGCTGTTCATAAGACATTAACTCACTCACTCACAAGTTCTCCAGCAACACATGTTGCACGTGATACGCTAAATCACGGACGTGAACCAGCTCCTCTTGCTCCGCTGTCTCTGTGCTCATGACGTCATCGACGATAGGACGGTAGAGCGCAAATCTCTACTGTGGGCCAAATTTATATCATTTCTACCGTCTACCGCATATACCGTGCAGCCCTAGTACCAGTATGTGTTTATGGTTTGTGTCAGTGCATCTTAATACGTTCCTGTGCGTCTGTATCCATGTCAGTGTCGCAGCCCTAATATCTTTAGACAAAAGTTGTCATTTTCGCAAGAAGATTGTGGCAGTTCCTCGACTAGTGGGATGTCTACAAACACCTCAAGTGCACCAGGGCCTGTTACAAAAGCAGAAGCGAAATGCGTCACAGGCCTCCCTTGGTGTTAAATGCCCCATATACTGCTGGTTCTGGGCCTAAAAAGCTCTCCATATATTACATGGACTACGCAGTTCAGTTGGAAATACTTTGTATCAGTGACATTTCTGGGGCAGAGCTCTTCCAATGCACTGAGCCAAGCTGGCTTCCCACAACCAAGGGAAGAGTGTGCCACAGGCTTTAAATACACTTAGTGGAATGAAGTTGGAGAAGACATGGATGCATTTTAAAGTGAAGTTGAAAAGTAGAATTACGTATGAACTGTGACAGCAGAAGACAGACAAGGAAGCACAGAGAAGTAGCAAATGGGGAAAGATAGAGATCTGAATGCAAAAAAAAAAAAAAAGCTTGAGTGAAATAGTGGAGCATGAGAGCTGTTTCCTGTGCTGTGCGCTGGCTGCTTCCAAGCTCACTGTAGGACATTGTCCAGGCCAGAGCGAGCTGGGGCCCTGCATAAGCACTGGCCTGCAGGCTGACTTCCTCTGAGTTAACCTATAACATTCCTCCTGCCTGCTAGGAGCAGCACAGAATATGATTGTGTGTGTGCGTTTGTGCATGTGTGTCTGTGTGGGTAGGTTTTAAGTCTGGGTCTGGGGTCAAGTCTTACAGGAACCATATGTAGACTCGCCTCTGCTCTCCCCTTGCAATGTTAGTTTGCATAGACAGGCAGCACTTGTCAACACAACAGGTGAAACTTTGCACTCAATGGCAAGTGACCCAACCCTGAACTAGCCTTCAGCCTTGGCACATCTGCTGCAAGAGCAAAAAACCCCAAAACATTTCTCTGAATGAATAACTGACACAAACATTCCAAAGTGGCAGAAATGTTCCCAGAGACTTTGCGAAAACAGGAAGCAAACTACATTTGATAAAGGCAGAGCCAAACACGCTGACAAGAAAAACATCCGAGAGCATTTTGAGAGCACGGTCGTCTTTCAAAGACACCAGGAAGACGGCGAATGAAAAAACTGATTTAGCTAAAAGCTGAGTGGTGTAGTGATGCCACATGCCGGGCTAGAGGACACGTGCAAAGGAAGAGAAAGCTAGAAAAAGAGAAAATAAGTGAAGTGGTCCCAGAGCTGCAGCAGCAGGACTGCTGGACAGCATCTCCCTCTCTCATATACACACACACACACACACACTGTCAAAGAGCAATTACCATAAATCCTTTCTGCATTTTATATAAGCAGAGTGCAATACTTCCATTCTATGTCACTGGATCTAGATATGTGAAGGCAGCACGTGTGTGTGCATGTGTTTATTAATTCATGCTCATTTTTGCATGTGCAGATGCATAATCTCCAGGTGGCCACTGACATGAAGCTGGACACAGCACATCATTAGCCTCTGAAAAAGTGTCTAAACAACCTCCTACAGTTCCAAAGCACTCTTGTGTTTTGGCTCGATGTCCCTCTGTGACCATTTGTCCCCCACTTGAGAAAAAAGATGAGGATAATTTGATTGAGGATTCAAAACAGCTCTATTACAAGCAGCCTACTGGCAGGATTAGCCAGGGAATTTTCAGTCAGGGTTTGAAGCGCCTTCACCTCTTTGCTTCAACCCACCTTTCTGCTCAGAGCACAGCAGGACTCCTCACTGTGAAAAGTCTGACCTAATTCAGCATCAGAACATGCACAGGTCTTATAAAAATTCAATATGTCACACAATAGACAGTCAACAAAAGCAGCACCATTGCTTCACATAAAGTTTTAAATGAAATTCAGTTTTTAATGGAAAGGCTACATCAAACAAAGGAATGACCCAGAATTCATTATAAAACTGCCAGAGAATAAAATAAAGCAAACTTGTGGTACACGGTGGAGTTAGCAAAAATAGAGAACTCAGGGGGGAAGTTACTGATGTCCCCAAAAGTTCCCACAAACACATCAACACTTCTGAAAGTACCTTGTATGTTTGTTATTGGCCTGACCTACTAAATCAAACTGGGGGCCTGCAGTGAAAAGAGGACAGAACCAGAAATCGAGGGGAGGGGACTGACACAGGCCGTGACGACAGAACAACCTCTGGGAGTTGCTTACTCCACATAATGGCAGGAAAATCTCTCAATGTCATCGTTTCCCCCTCAGCCAGGGCAGGAACTGGGTCAGACAGACCCACAGACAGATAGGCGGACCCTCGAGGGGCTAAAACACAGGTATGAAAGGGGAATGTCCACAAAAGGGAAGGGGGCTAGTATAAAAAAAGAGTTCATTAGTAACTTACTGGCTCTTGTCAATGTGTGTTTAAGTGTGTGTTCTGCCCATTCATACAGCCAGGAGTCCAGAAGTCACTGAGTCAACATTAACATACTTACACTCTCATACAGGATGCTGACAATGAAGGATAATTACCACTTCAGTTTGCAGGGCATTGAAACAGGAGCCCTTATCAGCGGCAAAATGACAAAGTCCTCCAGTGCCCGACTGATAACATCTTTCATTAATGAACTGTGGTGGTGGCCTTTAGAGCTGCAGCACAGTCACCTGCGACATAGGCATACAGCTGCTACGAACAAACTGATCACTGCAGGTCTAATTTGGACCAAGCCTATCACGAAAAGGAAAGTTCTAGGTTGAAATTAACAGCATGAGACAGGGTGCCAAAACATTATTAATAATTCTAGTCAAGTAGTTCTGTGAATAACAAATGGTGTTAAACTTCAGCTTCATTCCTTGCCACTAAAGCTGAATGCATTGCTGACTGTAATATCTGGCAACATATGCAGCTGCAGCATGTTCTACACCTTCTTTTTATCCTCACAGACAAAGAGAGGAAGTCCCTTAACCAGACACTTAATTCTGGATAAAAGCCGCCTATTTAAGATGATCCCAGCTGTGGCTTTGGCAATATAAATAATTCAATGATTCCACTGCTCTCCGTCTCCATGTCCCTCCCTGAACAAACTTTGCATAATACAGTATCTGGTTGTGTGCATGTGTGTGCGTTAAAGAAAGAGCCAGAGAGACAGGGAAGAATGTTTGCCTATATTTGTTCATTTGTGTGTGTGTTCTGCAAACAGCGACTGAAACACAAATGGACCAGGCAGACAGGACTGAATGGTTCTCCCACAGACTGCCGCCGCAGGCTGGACACCGTAATATTGGTCTGTTTTGTTTTCTCAAAGGAAAGAAAAAAGAAGACACTAGTGGGATTGAACTTTTTCCTTGCTGTCATTAAAGGACATTATGAGCATTTAATGTCCCTGCTACAATCACTGGCGGTCACGGTCTTTTCTGCTGCGGCATTCCCTGACCCCCTGTATGCTATAGGCACCAACTGTTTTCAAAAAGCCATTATCAACAGTTCACACAGACGTGTTCCTCCTCTGACCAACATAATACACCATGTTGAACAGCGTGTGTTTCTGACTCAACTTTCTAACACTTAATTATCAAGTTTAACTGGGACTCTTTGCAGTTTTTTCCATTACTGCGCACTGCATTTACCACTGCTGGTAATGAAGAGGAAAAACAAACCTTATGGCAGAAACACACAAAGGTGTCTTCTTCATATGTCATTCTGAAGCCAGAGAACAGAGTTTAATGTAATTGTAGTTAATGTAGTGTTATATCACAGTCACACCATTGAAAATATAGCCTAATACATGTGATTTAAAAAGAAGGAGCGTTTTTGTCAAGGAAGTCAGGAGCAGCTGTTTAAATGGGTTTTTGCAAACAGGTGGAGACTATGATTTTCAACATGTAAAGTAAACCTGCAGCAGAACAAACAGCAGCAGCTTCTGACTGTGGCAAAGACACTAATGTGTTTAGAGAACGAACTGGAATAATATTGTGCTTATGTATCCCTGTGAACAAAATAAGCACACTTACAATCATAAAAATCTAGCAGCTACACTCACATTTCAGAAAGTACTATTATTAAAAATGAGATGTTTTTTATCAGTAGTTTCTCGGGATGACCCAAATGCTTCGAAGCTTCAGTCTTTGCCATGTAATCAATGTCCCACTCGTTATGTATGAATGCTTTATTTCTATACTATTATCCCAAAAATCCCAAATAGCCCAAACATTAAGAAATAGTTATCCAACATACACCGATCGGCCGAAACATTAAAACCACTGACAGGTGAAGTGAACAACATTGATCATCTTGTTACGATGCTATGTTCTGTTGGGAAACCTTGGGTTCTGACATTCATGTGGATGCCACCTGATACGCTCCACCCACCTAAACACCAGTGCAGACCATTGCCCCCCCTTATGGCAATGGCTCTCTTCAGCAACAGTGTGTCCCCCCAACAGGACAATAAGCCATGCCACACCCCAAAAATGGCTCAGGAATGGCCCGAGGAACGAGACAAAGAGCTCAAGGCATCGACCTGGCCTCCAAGTTCCTTGATCAGATCCCGATCTGATCAAACATCTGTAAGATGTGCTGGTACCCCACCTCACAACTCACGGGACGGAAAAGATCTGAAAGTAATGCCCTGATGCCAAGACCAAAGGACACCCTCCAGAGGTCCTGTGTCCATGCCATGACAGGTCAGAGTCTGGTCCAAGGAGGACCCACCATGGATCCGGGGTACCTCTGGAGTAACAGCACATTCCTCAGATGTTCGATCAGATTGGGATCTTGGGTATTTGAAGGCCAAGTTAATGCCTTGAGTTCTTTGTCGTATTCCTGTGGTCATTCCTGAGCAGTTTTTGTGGTGTGGCATGTCGTATTGTCCTGCTGGGGGGACACTCCCATCGACCAGTGCTGTTGCCATGAGGGGGTTTACTTGGCCTGCAATGGTGTTCGGTTGGCATGTCAAGTAGCCTGTCAACCCCCAGTGGTTTTAATGTTTTGGCCGATCGGTGTAATTCATTATGCATCAACTTGAATTATTAGTTATTCTTGGAAAATGGCATTTAAACTTAGTGATAGGCCTAGTTTTGTGACTACGACAATTTGACCACCTGTGACAGGCTCACAGATGTGCTAGCAAGATGTCAAAAAAGTCAAATGTTTGGAATAGTTTCAAAATTTACAAAGATCACCCCCAAAAAGTCGGGTGCCAGATACGCCACATGAAACTGGCATTTCACAAATCAGGCAAATTACTAGCATGGCAAATCACCCAAAAACTGTAAGTAACAGCTTAGCCGTCCTGCACACCAAAGCGTTCTTTTTTCTAGCTATTATTGCTAATGTTTGTGCAACCTGATTGCTAACAAAGTAGCTAATGGTTGCATTATTTTGGGGGAATCGACTGAAAACTGATGATTTTTTAAAATGCCCTCAGCTCTCACTAACCCCCGCAACTCCACCCCAACCCCTTTTTGAAGCTTCGGTTAATCGTAGATACTTCAAACTGAAGCTATAGTTCCCCAAAACTGGTATTTGGGACAGCCCTAGTGTTTTCACAGGTCATTACTCTAAATAGGAACCTGTTTGTCAATTTGCTCTTTTGAAACGGGTGCACTAAAATAAAAGAGCATGACCATAGATATGAAGTCTTGACTGAGACAATGTCTATGAGTCTATAAAATCATCCATCTTTACTTTAGAGTTAGCATCATCCTCCCCTGCTGTCTTAGTGTCTCACCACTAGTTTTTTTTCCAGACTCAGACACCGAAGTACAGCTCAACACAGGGCACTTCCCCTGAAGCAAGATGGATTCTTCTCCAGCAGTCCAACTTTCACTTTACCTCACTCCTGTAGAGGATTTTGGGCTGAACTCCTACTGTGCTGAAACTTTTTCCTCGCTCGAAGGAGCACGAGAGAGACAGCGGCAGATTTAAATTTAGAAGACGACATATTGGTGGTGCAATGAGAAAACATTTTCATTCCACAACCAGAGGCCTAGCTTCTATCTCCAGTAGCAATACATCCAGCTTGGTCATGAATATCAACAAACACAAATGGCAACGTTCGCAGCTTAGTGGGAAGCCCGAATGGGATCAGATCTTTGTAGCTTTATCAGCGACATGGCCTGTACAGAGGCAGGTAGCAACACAGAGAGATAGAATCCACTTCCACCTCTGTGATGCCTAATTAGTGAAGATTCTTAGTGGCAGCTGAAACAAATATTCCATGTGTATCGAGAGAGAGAGAGAGAGAGAGAGAGAGAGAGAGGCAGAGGAACTGCATTCCTCCAAACAACATGTCACACAAAATGTATATTAATGCACTCTTGACTATTAGAATGACATCTTGTCAACTTGTCTCAACATCAGTTATATAAACCAGTGTTAAAGAATGCAGCTCCACTGACAGCAACAGCAGTGCCCCCCTTTTGAATGCAGCCTGTCTAAACTAATTACACACAGATTTAGCTGCTCATTTTAATGCTACTTTAGCGTTTTGCAGCTACGCCAAGCTAACCTGTCATATGAATACTGGCTTAAGGCTGCAGACAGAATGAAAACGCACTTTTTCACACCGCAGACAAGCCTGTCCAATGAAAACAATCTAGAGAATATGTAGAGCACAGAAGCCTCACTGTACGTGTGTTGTTTATGTGAATACAAAAAATATAGGCCAAGAGATTTAAAACCCACAGGAAGGTTTTTAATGCTATTCAGACATCTTGTATTTGCTGAAGAAATATGCTCCTTGACGTCTGCCAAATGTTTACCCTGTGAATGAAGTGACCCGACTGTACATCACGCGATGAAAACCACAGAGCGCCATACCAGAGTCGCTCCACCAGTTACACACATGGGCACACACAGCTGCTAGAGCCATTGGAGCTTCAGACAGAGCGCAGGGGCTATTTGCAGACGGCGAGGACAAACATACGTTTTATTTTCGTTCCCACCACGAGTTCAAACAATATGCTAATGTCTGCTCTTTCCATGAGCAGACTCCTGCAGTGTAATAAGGCCAAAAGCTACAGCACGCTTAACTGTGTCAAGATCCTCTGAAAGGCTCTGAGTCAAACTGTGATGCACCACCAAGACAGGGTTGTATAAAGAATCTCATTTCATTAAATCTTTGTTCATACATACTTCCACGGCCAGACTAACCCTCTATGACACAAAGACCATATTAAATTCAATGTTTAGTTTCTCCTTCCACTTCTCTTATACTTTTTCATAATGACACTGTTCTATTCTCAGTAAGTATGCAGACATAGGGCAGGATTTAAAATGAAATACTCTTTCAGTATCGACCGAAATATGTCCACAGTATAAAGTATCAAAATGTATATATTCATATTGCATTGCATATGTGGTCAATCTTCAAAAATATTTTTGGTATTGGTATTAGGGCTTTGAGATTTCTAATAGAGATCAGAGACATGTCAAAAACAAAGCTAAAAGTCTCCCCAGAAAACATTTACTGTATAGTAGAATGTTGTATTATGGCACCAAAAACTAAACAAAAGTCAAGATGGATTATTCATAAAGCCCTCTGGCTGTGTTAGTGTGACATAATGGGCTACAACCACAGGCTTTAACGTAAACATTACATAATGTGAAACAAAGCAATAGTTTCGATGAATTTCCTGTGCTGGAGAGGTAGACTCAGAAAAAGACAGAGCAGTCTGGCACTAGAATTTCATGATATTCATATTTGCAATAAGGAATCTTGAGAATGATTGAAAGATAAATGACAGAAACAAAAATAAAATGTCACCACTGAGCTGCTTTTCTGCGTTCATTTGACTGGCTTTGAATGTGAAATGAAGATTGATACAGCTCATCAGCACAATAATCACACAGGACAATGAATTTCAGTGTGACTTCTGTCTGACTGCCACAATAAAACATAAAAATGAGACCAGCAGACCAAGAATGTTGATCCTCACTCTGATTAATGAGAAGTATTTTCAGGCCCATAAATGAAACCCAGATGACATCACAAACAAACCGATCACAAACACTAAGACAGCGTCTCCTCACTTGTACTGCTGGTGATCCTTGGTGCTGCGAGTCTTTGCCATGAAGCGTTCGGCCAGTTTCTCCAGGTTTCTGGAGTATTCCATCTCAATCTCTGCCTTCTTCCTGAAGAAGTCCTGGAGGTCCTGCAGCAGCTGGACCCTCATCTCTGTCTGCTGGTCCAGGCATTTCTGCTGCTCCACCAGCTGGGCTCGAATCTCTGAGGAGACCAAGGAAGAGAACAAATAGATTAGGATGGAGCCAGGACGTGAAGGCGGAGGAATGAGGTTCATATGTTCTCAAATTGGGGAATATCAGAGCTACACAAACTCTAGTCTTACAGGGTAGAAATACAGCTTACTGTAGCCACCATCCATCACTGTGTCTTTTTACATAGAGTTGCATTTGTTTCAAAAGGAAATCATCTTTGTCTGAGCACACACACCGTAGTAAAGAGCAGACAAAGCCAGACAGTTTAATGCTTCAGTTTGGCTGTAGATGATTAAATTTGACTGTTATCATCAGTTATAATTGCAACAGACTTGAAAAAACTCTCAATTTGATAATTTCCCTTTTTCAAATCTTTACATTTTTAAAGACCATGAACCTTGACGGTGCATAACACAGATGTACAAACCAGCATGCAAACATTATACATCTAAAAAAGACAATCACAAAGACTTGTAGTTATAGTGCGGTACAGTATATGTACACATCAGTACCACAGAACAGCCCAAAGCAGCCTATTATCCCTTAGTTATGGCTCCTCTGAATGCTCGTAGAGATGTAAGGTTGGCAAAACTGGTCTCAGGTGTTTCATTAAGGCTGAAATATCTCCAGGATGAATGGAACCTGATTCCCATCACACCTAGAGTTACAGTAGAGACCAGGCTACACACACACACACACACACACACACACACACACCTGCATCAGTGCATGCGACTGAAAACCCAAGCCACTTAAGTAAGCAGAGGGGCGACAGCAGGCCTCACTTAAACAAGTTGGATGTGCAGGTAAATTACCCTCTGAGGTCCTTTCTGAGGAATCACGCCTGTCAGAGTGCCCCTCATTTAAATTTACATCATCAACATGACAACTGGGATCTAACACACACACACCAATACATGCACACGGTTGCACACAAATTGTTTCCTCCGTGTGTCCTCACTGGCCAGGGCCATGTATAATGGATTTCTCCTAATGGAAGGCAGCCTCGGCCAGACATCTTCAGCAGAGGAAACAGATTAATGAGGTGATTTAGAGCCACACAGACACCGATAGAGCGGGGTGCAGAGAGATTCCTCATATTAGAGGCAAAAAAACACCAAGGCTGCAACATGCCTCCACAAATTATTTGTTCAACTCACTGGACTAGGTGCCATTATAAAGTTAACAGCTTGCAAGATCTTAGTGGCTGTTTCTTGGCTCACCGACAAAATCTGGAAAGTAGCAGTAATAAGATCGGCTGAGCAGGACGAGGATGATTGTTTCAGGGCAAAGTTTAATGTGCATCGTATTGTCCCCACTTATAGATGATGTGGTAATGTTAAAGCAAACACTAATATGTATAGATCAAGTGCTCAATTGAGGGTATTGCCAATATTTGAGGAACGCTTCAAACCTCAATGAGGCGTTCTCAAATATGTGTATGCTTTCTTAAACATTGGTCACTTTTCTTGAGAGAAAACCAGTGCTTTAACCGTTTATCATCCTCATTCTGTGTTGAACAGAGGTCTAACCCTGTCCTCTTACGTTGTCTTCCAGGTTGTGACAGCAGCTCTGCCACAATTACCAGCTTGCTCAAAGTTACAATGCACCAGTTTTGCTTTATGTTCGTCAGCATTTAGAAACTGTCCCGTTGAGTGTCTGTCAGTCCCTGGCAGGGAGTTGCGACCAGCCACATAGAATAATTTGGGTTTTTTGTGGCCAATAGACTGTAATTTGGGCAGTGACTACTTTTCCTCATTTGACAACTGCAAGAATTGTCGCTGGTGACACATACTGCTTCCAACATACTCTTTCCATCTTACTGTATGTGAGCTGCTTGTGTAGCAGTCTCTGTAATTGTGATTTGCTGAAGTTATTCCGATATTAAGCCACACAGGACTAGCATTACCTGGGGAACTCTAGAAATTTGTAGTAAATGTGGGGGTTGCCTGTGATCTTAATCCCGTGCAAAATCCGCAATGTCCTATTTGTCAAGTAAAAATTCCACCGCAAATTACCTATCATATTTCGCCAAACACAGAGGTCATATTATAATACAGTCCCATGCCATTTAGCATGTCTGTGATTTGGGGGTTGCATTTAGGTTTTCGGTTTTCTCTGCGCCTCATTTCTGCCTCTTTCCTGGTTGAGACTAACAGAGGCTGTGCTGCTGATTATAAATGAATGTTCTGACAGCATTCTGGGTGCAGGAGGCTCATCTCACTACAGAGCATGGAGACCCAGTTACAGAAAAAGCAAGCTTAAATCAATCAGGAGAGCGAAATCTTGAAAGATGATGAAATGGATGTCTTGTAACAACATGAGGCAGAATAGGTCCTGCTCGTTTAACCAACATTTCAAAGAAGAAAGGGGGTTTACACCACTGATAGTGCTGCGTAGTGTTTCTGTGTTGTATAGAGTGAAGTCATGAAGGACTGTGTGCATCATATCAGGGGGGATAAAGTCAGGAGATTTAAGTAAAATACAGACTTTGCTTATCCCATGCAAATGCGCCACACTGAACACAGACATAGGGAGGTAATTTCTTTATCACAAGACAGGGCTTTAGAAATCCTTTTTGGCATGTAGCTGCTATAATTGTCTACCTCTCTGTTTGTGGCAACTGCACTCACTCTGACCACTTAATGAGCTGTAAATTTGAAGGAAGAATTATTTCTGTTTATTGCCACGAGAACCTCAGATTCTGTAGTGAACGTCACTGCAACTAGAGACAAACTAAACCAGAACTGGGGGAACCGCAACTGTAAATTGTGTGCTTGGCCAAGAGTTTGCATCTGACCAACCTGCTGTTTAATGAATACACTCATTAATATGGAAGTAAAGTGGACAGAAACAAAGATAAGTATTAAATGAGACAATTAGACAGCAACAGATGCCTTTGTGAAAAAGCCAAAAGATCCCTAAGAGCCTTTATGGGATATCATCAATAGTTCAGTACATCAAGCTACTTAATGGCCAATCAGCTGATGACTCGATTAGAAAGCTTCCAGTCAAAGCTGGGCGAGAGCTGCATTCTGTATGTATGTGTGAGTGTGTATGGGCACGTGTCCTTAATGCAGTAATCACATTACCAAAAGGCTCCGCTCTATTCATCAGCATTAAATGTTCTCACAGTCTTGATAAATTAATGATCTATGTTGGGCCTTTTAGAAACTGTTGATTATTTTTTGCATCTCCAAGTAGCAGCTCCTTCCTTGTGGCACTCGTGAGGAAATAAACCACTTAGATAGAGACAGACATGACACAAGGGAGGCGTTCCAGCATACTAAATCTGAATAAATGCTTATCACGGCAGTTAAACTGAAATACAGAGAGCCATGAACATCATTAACAATAGGATTTCAACAGCAAAGCAGAGGCTTGACTGCAATCAAGAACTCAAAACTACAACATCGAGAACTCCAGGCCATTGACAAAACCAGGAGACCACCAATGAGCACTAAGAAGGAGGTAGGTTTTTAAATGTGACTGCATTAAAGTCCACCAGGCCTTTTTGATGAATGGGTAAACCTTGCAATTGCTTCCATCTCCAGAGGATGTGGGGATTAAAACAAAGCTACCATGGCACTGACACAAAGGAGCGTACTGGATCATTTAACACAATTACATTCATGACTGCACACAGAAACTCATTAAATCATTCATTTTCCAAGTCAAACACTGGCCATTGAAACTGCAGTGCAAAGTTAATGTATAAAGGAATTAAAAGGCAACTACCTGTCAGAGAAGATTTCAGGTTAACACTTCCTGAAACTAGGATGCATTATGAAAGTTTAAGAAAGCTCAGCTGTGATAAGAGTCAAAACATGGTCATGACCACAACAAAGCAGATACATTTAGTAACGCATCTTCTTCTCTGTATTGCTGCCTTCCTTCCATAATGATGAGTGTTTTTTTAAACCAAAATCAATGCTTTTTAAGACTCTAAATGCGGGCACCGGCATGTTAAGAGGATGACTTTATGTCGCCTAAAACTCTCTATGATTGCTGATTTTGAATTTCCATATAGTGAATCACACAACGCAGCAGCTGCCATTCATCTGTTTTCTGTTAGATTAATCTAAAACAGGGGTTAAATCAACAGTTACATTACAGCTGATCAGGAATCACTGTTCATTGGGGTTAATAGGTAGAAGAAATAGGTTTGATTCCAGAAACTGAAAAATAAAGTATGTCAATAAGGACAACTAAACTGTGTGAATAAATTGTCTGACTGATATAAACACTATAATGGCATCAGTGATTATCAGTGGGGGTTTAACCTGCAGAGACCCAACAGAGTAAAGATGACATTACGCTCTACCCAAGATTTACATAAACATCTCTGCAGACCAACACAAAGAGGGGTGTAGTGGGTAACTGTAGGTCACAGAGGAGATCACATCACAACAGCGTGTCATGCGGAAATGCTTATCAAGCAAGCAGACTGGTTGAGCCAACTACTTGTTGAGATGGGTTTGAAACAGAGAAGAAAATTAATGTCAGTTTTAAAAAAGATGTACTGTGCGTACAAGCACAGAAGAAAGAGCCATGCAATGTCTCCGAACAACACCTGTGCTCTACGCAGAGCCTACACAGTAGCCAATGCGAGTGGCCTACGCCATTGTAAGCATTTATACTTGTGCAGTAATGTATCTGCTTTGCTCTGCAATTACACCTTGACTTAATAGCAACAGTATGAAACACAAGTACCAAATTCAGCTCTATTATAACTAGCAGGGTTCACAGACAAAACACTTGTCATTCGCTAAACACGTTTCCACACAAATACAACATGCTAACGTTATTAGCATAAGTCTATGACATTTTACATTGAATAAATTAGCCTAGCAGAGTTTACCTCTACTCCTATGAAGCCCGGAACAACAGCAATGTTTAACAAAGGTAACCTTAAAAAATTCAGTTCCATTATAACTCACAAGGTTCCCAAACATAATAACTGTCTTACACTAGATACGATTTCCCCACATATACAATATGCCATTGTAA